AAAAAAAAAAAAAGATCAGCTTATTGCTTTAATTCCTTTGTTCAAATCGACCATGAGGGCGAAGAAAATTTCTTTTTAAACAAAAGATTCACATCCATTCCTTATGAAAACAAATGATTTAGAAAAACAAGGTTAGAATGCCACCTGGGGGCTTATATTGCCATCACACTCAACTTGAGAGCACAGCAGCTTGCGATTTGTACTGTCAGATAAAAAAAAAACATTCACTCCATTTTCTTCACAAAGTACAGTCAGACTTTTTAAAAATTCATGAAGGTGTTATTCCATTTTATGGCACCTGCTTCCTTAGTCCTTCAGCAAGAACACAGTACAAGAAATGGGCACTGAAGAAGGAAACCAATTTGCTCTGCAAAGACAAACACAGCATTATGGCCCTGTATAAGACACTATTTTTCACAGATGAATGTAAATCAAACAGAAGAAACACAAAAATAAGCGTATTTATTCACAAAATATCATAGAAAACACTAGATTACATCAAGCAGAGGTCACAGTTCATGGAAGGAGAAAAATGATTGTTCAAGAACAAATAAACAGCAAAAAAGCAGCAAATCAAAGCATTGAAAATAGAAATATACAGACAATTTCTCTAATCCATTAAATTAGTATTAAAAGGAAGTCTTTCCACAACTTTAATTTAGGGACTGTGAATCCACTGTGACAAAAGCAAGAACTGACATGAATCTTTGCCAGAAATTAGAACAAAATACAAATGATAGCTCTTAGAAGCATGTGGGTAGCCTCTCCCCACTACTAGGATTTATCTGCACTTTTGGTGAACTTTTCAGAATCTGAACAGATAGGAGAAATGAATACTCATTTTGCACACTAAGATGTTAAATCTAAAGCCAAAGGGAGAGAGGAGATTTTCTTGAGATGTTCAGCAAGTCTCCATTTAGTTTTCCCTCGGTCAGGAGCCGTGCAATACCCTTCTCCACTTCTCCCTAATCTACTGAAATTTTCCATGAAAGGAAAGTCATCGTGCTAGAAGGTGGGAAGAAAAAATATTCCATTCGGCTACAAAAGCCTGGACAAAAGCAATGCCACGTTAGCACTAGCCTATCATTTCCGTATAGTTTAAGAGTCTGAGCACAATCGTTTGCTGATGGTTGACAGCAACAAGCCCTTACACTGCAGAAGACGTTGCATCTTGGCCTAGGAACTGGAATGCTGTTTCTGATTGCACTCTTCACCCAGACATGACAAACATAGCACCTGTACAAACACTATGGGGAAACAGAGAAGTTGCTTCTGATTCCAAGAAGTGTACAGTACATTAGATGTTTGAAAAAACAAAACCTGTTTTTTTTAGAGTACAAGAAGTATTCAAAAAAGAAGTATACATAAATTCATACAACCTAAAAAGATAGTGAAGTGGAAAATGGAGAAAAAGTGCAGAAAGGTGATGTGTTATTAGTTAATTCTTTAAATAAAGCATTTAAAGATGCTCAGAAGCAGAATTCTGAAGTCAGTTCTAATTAATATGATGAAAAGCACTCTCCTGAAGCTTATCTGTGGTGGGTTGACCATGGCTGGGTGTCAGGTGTCCATCAAGCTGCTCTTTCACTCCCCTTTTCAGCTGTACAGGGGAGAGAAAATATGACCAAAGTTTTGTGGGTCAAGATAAGGACAGGAAAACATCACTCACCAATTACTGTCTCAACTTGTGGAAAACAGACTCGACTTGTGGAAAATTTAATTTAATTTATTGCTAATCAAATCACAGTAAGCAAGATAATGAAAAATAAGAAAAAAAAATCTTACAAGACTTTCCCTCCATGTCTCTCTTCTTTCTGGGCTTGACTTTATTCACAGATTCTCTATTGCCTTCTCTCCAGTGGCACAAGGGGATGGGGAAACAGGTCTGTGGTTAGTTCATTTCACATTGTCCCTGCTGCTCCTTTCTCCTCACAAGGAGGACTCCTCACACCCTTCCCATGCTCCAGCATGGGATCCCTCCCACAGGAAACAGTTCTCCATGAACTTATTCAGTGTGGGTCCTTCACATGGGCTGTAGTTCTTCATGAACTGCTACAGTGTGGGTCCCTCCCACGGGTGCAGTCCTTCGGGAATAGGCTGCTGCAGAGTGGGTCCCCCAGGGGTCCCAAGTTCTGCCAGCAAACCTGCTCCAGCATAGGCTCCTCTCTCCACAGGGCCACAGGTCCTGCCAGGAGCCTGCTTCAGTGTGGGCTTCCCATGGGGTCACAGCCTCCTTTGGGCATGTCCACCTACTCTGGTGTGAGGTTCTCCATGGTCTGCAGGCTGATCTCTGATCCACCTTGGACCTCCATGGGCTGCAGAGAGGCAGCTGCCTCACCATCGTCTGCACCACGGGCTGCAGGGGAATCTCTGCTCTGGTGCTTGGAGAACCACCTACTGCTTCTTCACTAGCCTTGGTGTCTGCAGAGCTGTTCCTCACACATATTCTCCGTCCTCTCTTGGGCTGCTGTTGCTGTTGCACAGGTTTTCCCCCCTTCTTGAATACGTTATCCCAGAGGTGCTACCACTGTCACTGGTGGGCTCAGCCTTGGCCAGTGGTGGATCTCTCTTGCAGCGGGCTGGCACTGGCTCCATCAGACACAGGGGAAGCTTCTGGCAGCTTCTCACAGAAGCCATCCCTTAGCCCCCTGCTGCCAAAAACTTGCTAATACATTATGAAAGCTATGCAAGTCTTCATGTTCACCCTTCAGGAACCTGGTGCATTTCCAGTCTTGAAAAATATATCGCAGCACCGTCTTTACAAAGACAGTGCAACACCCAGAGCCTCTGAAGCTGCCATGAAGTTCAAATCTCAGCACTTATCTACAAACATGGTGTTTGGCATAGTACTACACCGTGTTTTTTCTATCCTCTTTTTTCCGATGTGTGGACTGTGATACAGCAGAAGAGGTTAAAATGAAGAGGGTAAAGTCAAGCAGTGTATTTTACTCACTGCATTAAACAATAACAACCTTACTAATGTTGCTAACCTGAGTAAGCAGCATTTGCTGTCCCCGCATCTGGTGTAGGAAGTGCTCTTCCCTCTCTTTTTTCTGTTTGGAGGTACCACTATGAATACCGCATTTGAGGACTACAGGTCAACTGTAGGTAGTGTTATGCTGTGCAGTCCTTCCTTTCAATAAATGAAATGCAACAAAGTGCGTCAACACTTGCCAGTTTGGAGAAAATACCAAATTATTTAAGGAGACTACTGAAGAGCAGATAGGTGACGGCAAAACATTACTGTGGAAAACTTGGCGGGGGTATCTGCATCCCAAAGATATCCCATTGGCTTTGCCCTTAGCCTGCAGGAACATCACCTCTGAGATGAGAATCAGCATAATTGAACAGAAATGGAAAAGCAGAAGTATTCTAAAGTAGATAAACATCTGCTTTAAAACTGGTTTATGGCTGTCATCACCTTCAGTTTGTTGCGAAGATGCAAAGAATTCACATCAGTTAACAAGTGGCAATACTCAGGTTACACATCACCAATACTTGTCCAACTTATGTTGCTACAGTGTCGTTTCATCCTAGATCTAGGATGCATCCCATGCTTTAAACACACAGGCTGGTCACCAATAGAAGTTCAGGAGGGATGGACACCTCTCCTACAGAGAAAGACTGTGAATATTGAGATCGTTCAGACTGGAGAAGAGAATGATCTGAGTCAACCTTATTGCAGCCTTTCAGTACCTAAAGGGAACCTACAAGAAAGCTGGAGAGGTTCTTTTTACAAGGGCACATAGTGACAGGACCAGGGGGAGTGGCTTTGAACTGAAAGAGGGTAAATTTAGATTGAATATAAGGAAGAAATTCTTTACTTGAGGGTGGTGAGGCACTGGAACAGGTTGCCCAGAGAAGCTGTGGATGCCCCACCCCTGGAGGTGTTCAAGGCCAGATTGGATGGGCCTTTGAGCAACTTGGTGTAGTGAAAGGTGTCCCTGCCCATGGCAGGGGCGTTGGAAATAGATGATCTCTAAGGTCCCTTCCAATTCAATCCATTCTATGATCCTATAGTTTAGAAAAGCACTATAATCTCCTGCCCTAGGGAAAATCTCAGCCATTGCGTGGTGTTGCTTCTGAAAAAACATGGGTGAAAAAGCAGCAGGGCAATGACCTGTGTATATTCAGATGCTCAGAGCAGTGCCTGTTGGATACGTCTGTGCATCTTGGGGGTTTCTTTGTCACAGATGTCTGAGAATGGAGGCTTGTGTGGCCTTTTGGGATGGGTTTTATGATCTTGCCCCATGTTCATCTAAGACTCAAAAAGGCTTCCAAGATTACTGCATTACTTCATCAGTGTCTATAGTTATCTAGAGGGTGGGTGTCAAAAGGATGGAGCCAGGCTCTTCTGAGTGGTGCTGAGCAATAGGACAAGAGGGAATGGGTGGGCGATGGAGCACTGAACGGATTGCCCAGACAGGTTGTGGAGTCTCCCTCACTGCAGATATTCAAAAACCACCTGCACACAATCCTGTGCCATGTGCTCTGGGATGACCTTGCTTGGGCAGGGAGGTTGGACCAGAAGATCCACTGTGGTCCCTCCCAACCTGGCCCATTCCGTGAGCCTGTGATTCTGTGAAGGGCAATGGAAGAGCAGCAGGACAACAAATCATGTGAGTTTACTCATGTTTGTTATGCCATCCTGACAGGACATCAAAGGCTCAGAGAGGTTCAGTGAAGGAGGACAGAAGATGTTCTCCTTAGAGAACATTTTGGGAGTCGTTCCACTTCACAAGGAGAGATGAAAATGGTCACAATAAAATGTTAATAATTGATGGCAATCTACAGTATGGTAAACGGTAACAGCACAAATTTCCTCTGAAATCGGAAAACAGCGAGGTAAAACGCCAGTAAATGTTTAATTGCCACCTGTGCGGAGCCCTGCCCACGCCGCCACTCACGGGGCAGCCGCTCGGCCATCGGCTGCTCCGGCCGTGCCCGGCCTCGCCCGCCAGCGGGCGGGTCTCGGCGCGGCGCTCGATTGAGCGGCCTGAGCCTGAGCGCGGCGGTGGCGCGGGGGAAGCCGGGCCGGCTCCGCTCCCGATGCTGCGGTGGCTGATCGGCGGCGGCCGGGAGCCGCAGGGCCTGGCCGAGGTGAGGCCGCTCCCTGCGGAGCCTTAGGCTTGGAGCGGGCAGTGCCGTGAGGTCGGGATGCACTGAGCCGTGGCGTTTCCCATTGGGTGGGTCTGGGCCGTGCTCCGCGCCGGCTCTCGGCCTGCGGGGCCTTCGGGCTGACGGAACTGGTTACGGGCTTCGTGGAGGAGAATGAGAGGAGGGCAGAAACGCAGAAGCGAACCTCGAATACTGTGTTCAGTTCTGGGTCCCTTAGATCAGGAGGTGCTGGAGCGCGTCCAGAGAAAGGCAGTGGAGCTGGTGAAGGGGCTGGAGCACAAGTCCTCCGAGGAGCAGCTGAGGGGGCTGGGCTTGTTCAGCCTGGAGAAGAGGAGGCTCAGGGGAGACCTCATCACTTTACAACTACTTGAAAGGAAGTTGTAGCCAGGTGTGGGTCGGTGACTTCTCCCAGGCAACAAGTGACAAGTGACAGGACGAGCAGAAATGGCCTCAGACTGCTCCAGGGGAGGTTCAGGTTGGACATCAGGAAAAATTTCTTCACAGAAAGGGTGGTTAGATATTAGAATGGGGTGCCCAGGTGGGTGTTGGAGTCACCGTCCCTGGAGGTGTTCAGGAGGCGACTGGGCGTGGCACTTTTAGTGCCACGGTCTCTTTGACATGGTGGTGTTTGGTCATAGGTTGGACTTGATCTCAAATGTCCTTTCCAACCTAACTGATTCTGTGAAGAGCAGAACACCCACGCTGAGCTCGCCCGGGAGCCGTTGGGAGCATCCAGGCTCCTTCCCCCTTTCTCGGCGGGGCCCGTGTTGTGTAGCTGCAAGAACTGCGTATAAATCCTGCTCTCAGTGACGTTGATGATATAAATTGTAGACAGTGACTCGTTATTTGCAGTAACTTCTTGTTTATGTGTCATAGTAGTTCGTAGTAGTCTTCTAGCCCTTCTTAGTTTCTCATCCATGAAACACGGTTTGTTACATAGTGCACTGTACACTGACATCCTTCCTACTACTCAGATTAAGAGTTTTACTAGATTTGGGGGAGAGATTGTTGAGATTTTCATGTCTCTAAGAGTTTGGTGAAGTTCTCAGAGACTTAACAAGAGTTAATTAACAATATTACTGGACTCTATACACATAGTGCTTTTGTAATTTAGACAAGTATGAGGAAGTAATTGTTTTCCAGCTGCTGTTCATGAACAAGTGTACCAGTGTCATGGATGACTTCAAATGCCAGTATTTACTTTGGTGGAAGTTTGGATTTGTGCCAGTTTGGAACGATGATGTGTGGGAATGTCTTTGACTTTTGTCACCAGTCAGAATGCTGGTTGCATTGCAGTCATATTTAGCAGGTTTGTGTGCAGTTGTTTTTCAAAAGAGGATGGGAAATATGATGCAGTTTTGTAAGATGTGCTAGAAAATAGCATTGTGTGTGTCCCTCGACGAAGTTTAAACTCTGGCTATGGTTTAGTTATACCGTGTTTTGATAAAGCATGAACATGAATCAAGATGTGGCCCAGTTCTTCCATTCTGCCATTCATAGCTTGGTTAAACCTGACCCACAGGACTTTTGTTCCCATTGTTACCACTGGTTTGTGGAATGACATAATAATTTTGCTTCTCTGAGGAAAAACTGAATAACAAATATTGCTAAAGGTTAGTTTCTAAACTTCCCCCCTGCTTTACGTAATATTGTTTCATCTAATCATCTTCATAACTAGTTCTTAAATAGGTAAGAAAGCCCATAGCAGTGTGTGGGCTATGGACTTAGGGTATTTTTTTCATGTGCTATGACTTCAGACAGATGTGTAGAGTGGCATTGCACTGGGTGAATAGAGAAAACCTCTAGCAAGGCTATCCTGAGTTCATGAAAGGTAAATTTCTCCATGCCCATTTTTATTTTTACAGTGGAATTGAAAGTCATTTATACTCAAGCTCCTGAATCTCTTCAGTTGATGGCCATGATGTTCATCTTAGACAGGGTGGTTCTGGAAATGGGAGCATCTAAGTGGGTCAATAGCCATCATGGCCAATAGTAGCTAATTTGTCATGCTCCACGGTGCATAAAATCAGTATGTATGTGAACTCTTGTATTCCATGTTTTTGGTGAATTGCATTTGAAAATCCCACTTTTAAACACTTTACATCATGGGGGTTTATAGGAAGTTATGAAGTTTAGATTAATATTTTGGGGTTTTTTTTTTGCTGATTACTGTAGTGATGCTGACAGGTCCTGCATAAAAACATGCAAGTTGGGAATGGATTCCTTTAGCATCACTCTCCAGCTTTCCCTTCTAAAAACATGATTGCTGTAAGAGAGTCCAATTAATAGTTTCTATAAAAAAGTAGATTTCTTCAGAGAAAGAATTCTCATTTAACCCTATGTTTTGCTAAATATTAATGTATGTTTCCTCGGTACAGTATTGCTAATGTACTGAGATTTGCTTAGACTATTTAGAACTCTCGTTTTTTAAGCCATGTTTTGATTACCTTTGACAGCTGACTCCAAGTTTTCATGTTTGTCCGGCTTTTCTTTATAGCCATGCAGATTCTGCTTGCATTATTTTAGAAGGAAACTGCTATTCACACGTGATTGCATAAAATGAGGAACGTGAAATGCATCAGATAGCTCAAAACCAAGATAAAATCACAAGAACTTAATTTAAAAATTAGGAATTCTTAATTTTTAAAATAAACACAAGTTTCTTTCACCATTTTTTCACTTTGTCATTCTTAGCTTATGAAGAATAGTATCATAGTACCAATATCAAAGTAATAGAAAATAATTTATTAATCTAGCAAGAAGATGTTCAAATTTTTGAGGATAATATGTTTGTCTTTGCTGTGGTATTACCTGTCATGTATGCTGCGTGCTGTACAGTGTTCTGTAGTTACTGTTTTACAGTAACTGTAGGTTCTGTTGAAGTCCTCAAAGGGGAGACAATCTTGGAAGTAAGATGATGTTGACTGTCGTGTAAAATAAATCCAGAAGGAGAAGAGTGCTGCCACTGGGTTACTATTGAGCTGTTTTGTTTTTTTAAAAAATAATGTCTAACAGTAAGTTGTTCCAGAATGTGTAAGACATTAATTACAAAAAAGTTGTCTTGAAGCAAACTGATGATTGAGATTGGCAGAACTATTATTCCTTAAAACTGCAGTTCTGTGCAGTATTTTATTGACCCTACCTGATGATCAACTTGTTCCAAGTGATTGATTGTCCTTTTAATTAATAGTCTAGGTGGGGGTAATTGCAAATGCTGTTCTATAAAATGATTAATCATTCTCTACATTTTTTCAAGTGGTTGGCTTTGGTATTTTGTGAATAGAGTAGCAATGGATGATTTATATATTATGTAACAGAACAGCATTTGTTCTTATTTGTTTTAAATATATTGTCTTTATATAGGATTTTAAAATTGAACAGCAGATGAAAGATATGAAAGATTCACAAACATCTCATAAGATGTGTAATTTAATGAAAATTTGAGTGTATGGTGAATTGAGTCATGAAGCTGGCTCCACATGACAGCTCATAACTAAACTGGGTTTTCATCACGCTGTATCAGCGATTAAAGCAGTACAAAATATTTTGTTAAACAGAAAATGCCATATTATAATTTAAAATGCGTGCAATAGAAAGCTATTATTTACTTGAAATAATAAGAAATTATATTTTGTAATGATTTTCATTCAGGCAAAATGGTATTTCAGGAACTTCACACATGAGTCTAGGTTGTTAGAAGTTACAAAGACCTGATGAAAATAATTATGTCAGTACCAAATAAATTTAACTCATTTTTTATGAATTTTAGAAATCCTCTGTACAGACAGTTGGTGAAGAACAAACACAGAATCCTTACACGGAGCTCCTTGTGTTGAAAGGTCATCAAGATATAGTACGATTTCTAGTGCAAATAGATGACTGCAGGTATGAAATGCCATTTCGAATTGTTTAATAGTGTCCTTGGCAATACTTCAGAGAATATTTGTGAATATGTAGTAATATTTGTAATCTTCCCTTTTTATTTTTGGTGGGGGAGGGCAGGAAAAATTTGAGTTAAAAAAGCAAGGGATGAACACTCCCTTTTCTTGGTATGTTACTGTGTCTTTTGGCTTCTCTTTTAAGGTTTACTTTAATGAGAAAATAATGGTGAATGAGTTACGTTTCTTGGTGCCAAGTCATTTGTTAGGAAGAAATGTTCTTTTTACTCTGTTCCTATTTGAGCGTTCCCTTCTGTACATGCATATGAACTCTTTCTCACAGGACAACATGCAGTAGTGTCTTCTTCTGCTCTGAGCAGATACATGTGTTTTGCATTTCTGAATTGAGAATAGCTGTCATTTCACCTTTTGGTTCTATGAAAGAATGTAATAGGCTCCTTTAGGTACACTGTAGCAATTAGCCATGACATCTTCAACAATACTGAGCGATGGTTGCTGTTCCTTTCTTTCCCATCTTCTGCTGCACTTTCTTCCAAAGCTATAGTACTTAATTCATTTGAGCTTTAGTTAGTGCAGGTTTTTTTGACTTTTCAAATATTGAAATTTTCACCACTTTATTCAGAATGACTGCTTAGCAAAATTCATCACATGCCTAATCTCTACATTTCATTTTTCTTCCAATTTGATCTTATTCAACTTGCTGTACTTCTTTGAAACCTGATCATTCCTTTGTTTCTCTCGGTCAGTTTTTTGTATATTCCCTGACAATTTTTATCCGTTCTATTCTTCTGAAGACTGAGTTATCTATCTTCTGAGGACAGAGTTATCTAAAAACTGGAAAACTGGTTAATAAGCAGAGATGAAGTCATTGTATTTACCTTTGTCACTTTGGAAATGTGACTGAGAGATTGTATTATGATAGTTGTACATTACAACCTGGCTTCTATTCTAGTTTTCTCTAAATTAGCCTTTCATGTTCTTTAATTATACTTAATCCTAGAAGAGAAGAAATAATTTTCTGCCTTAAAAGTAAGGTTGTGAATTCTTTAGTCAGTAATAAAATGTAGTGACTCTTGGCTGATGTGGAGAATAAAATAGAAAACGTTTAGAGATTAAGAATGTAAGTAATAGGCAAGAATAGTTCTGTTAAGGAGCTGTAGTAATTTGTATCTTTTATGTATTAGACTCAGAAGGGAATTTCTAATATATTCATCAATACACTACACAAAGTTAACATGGATAACAGCTTGTTTTAATCCTAGCAGTGTATAGCGGGTGTTTTGTGAAGGAAGGTTCTCTCCTTTCCCATTCACATTGATTGGAGGAGATCATGCAGGTAGTCTCTTCCAATTCAGGAATGCCCACAGAATCCTGTTTTCTAGTAAGATTTGTAATATATATATATATATATAAATTCCACAGAAGACTCCATGGAGGCTCTTTAGCGTGTCAGTTTTTATTCTTAATGTCATAAAATATATATATATTAGAAAAGTTACATGTGTTACTGTAAAGTTTATTTTTCCGCATTGCAGTAGTCCACCAGAAAATTCCTACAGAAATGAAAGAATCTTGTGGCTTTTTTCAGTCCTTTTTGACCCAGACCAGTTATTAAAATATCAAAGTATGTTTTCTCAAAACACTTACTGCATAGAGGTAATTGATTTTTGTAGAAATACCAGAGTATTCTTAAATTTCTGTGTGATACAAAGAAACTGCTTGCCATTTTGGGCTTCTTTCTTTGGTGGCAGGTAAATTACTGAAGCTAAACTAATGATAATCATTGTAAAGCTAAAGTCTGGGTGGCTGCATTTAATAGGCTGTAAAATAGCATATGGATAAGGAGTGAGTTATATAGCTGGTTAACATTCTGAGAGTTTGAGGAGTTTAATAGAGTTGCTTCACTGGACAGTAATTCTGAGTTTTTATTTATCAAGAATATGGTATTTTCTGGATTGTTAAACACCTGATAATATTATTCACTTGATTCTTTTCAGTAAAATTAGTATTGTTACTCAGATTCTGAAATGTTTTTATTTAGTTTCTGCAGCTATTCCATTGTGTGCTTTTTGTCAACTATTGTAAGCCAAATTTCACGCTTCGGGTCTTTAGATAATATCATCTTAGTGAGAATTTTGCAGAAGGATTTTCTTGTTTTCTCAGTGGCTCAGCTAAAACCAGTGAGTGGAAAATTTTCTCAGATTGGTTTTTGAAGATACTAAATAAATCCTATATGAATGTAACAGAAAGCTGGTGGGCTTTTTTTGCTTTTTTTTTTTCTTTCTTCTTTGCTCTTGTACTTTTCGAACATGAAGTAAGGGTCATATTGATTAGAAGATCACTAAAGAAGACTAAGCCTGAGCAAGAGTCTTCCAAAAAGTGGACTGAAATAAAATTGCATGTAACGCCCTAGCATTCGATACATTAAATTAAACAGAGTTCATAACATATTTTAAGAACAGTTTTTTTGTTGCTCATTTGACCATTCCTTCCTCCTTCAGGAAACAGACAAGGTTATAGATGGTGGTGATCTTGACTGGAAGAGAATGAGGTGTCCCATAAGGAGCATATGTAGGCAGATGGTTAGATACTCACTCTAACCTAGAGAAAAAGATTGAATTCAAGTCAGATTTGGTTCATGTGAGATTAACATGCTAATTGGAACTTGTGTTTTCCTCGTATGGTATGCCTTCCATGTGGATTTTTATCGGAAGTCAAATTTAGCACCTTAAATGTGTTGCCCTTCGAAGTTCTTTTAAGCCACACTCTAAATTACAATGGTAAATACTGGACTACTCTGTTCTGAATCCAAAAAATCGGTCCGAGAAACTGCTCAGAGACTTTTTTTATCTTTAAGCAGCAAGGTATTTGTTTATTCAATGTTGGGAGCAAGCCAGCTGGTACTGGACAAACTTGCTCGACTTGCAAGTGCAAAACTAAGCCATTTTATACACTTTAGATACATGGTTACATCATTTATTATACATATTAATAAGTAGGCTGGTCTCTGGGCGGAGTCTTTCCAGACATGCGCAATTTTCTACTGTGTGGGTCTTCTCCTCAAGCCTTCATCCCTCTGGTGGTCGCCATGGACGTCTTCCTCAATTTGACCTCTTCAGTTAGGTGACCTGAATCCTTCAAGCTTGCAAAATCCTGGCTCTGGGCCTTCTAGATCTTATTCTAACATCTAGTTTACCTAATTTATTACTGTGTGTGTACTACTCCTGTTCTTTCTATAATAAGGCCTTTGGTCCAGTGAGGAGAACAGAACATGATATTAACCAGTGCTCCTAAAATGTTCTTCTAGCAAAACAGGTATTGAGGTTTCTTAGCAGACCAGGATATCTCAGTTAGCTCTTTTAGGCCTGGCTCCTGTTTCAGTTCCTGGGCTGAACCCAGACAAGTGGTTTGTAACTTGTTAGATGTCTTATAGTTGACTCTGACTAATAGTATTTGATTTTAAAGTTCACTGTTATTTGGTGTTTCAGATCTCATATTTTTAAACAAGAGAATTGGTTCTTTTGTGGGCGGTTCTTTTTATAATAGTACATATTGGAATTCCTACATCTTGTTCTTATATTATGTTGATAAATACCTATTCAAATGTACTGACTTTAGTTTAGAAACTATAATTGGGATTTACAAATACATGTTTATTCTGTAAAGACAGATTCTGATATATCTTGTAAGTATTTTTCTTCCGTAACTGTTTACTGCTTTTCCATTACGTTATGCTATATTGAAGTTTTCAGTTTGTTGTGGTTTTTTTGTCTCTTTTTCTTCAGGTTTGCATCTGCAGGAGATGATGGAATCGTATGTCTATGGAATGCTCAGGTTAGGTGATTTTTTGGGGGCTGGCTTGTGTGTTCTGGAGAGGGTAGAAGTTATGGAGAGGAGTTAGAAATGTCTAGAAATGAAAAAGCAGAATAAATAAGAGTTGCTGCAAAGTTGTTTGAAAATGTACAAGTGGAGGGAGCCTCTTAAATTTTAGTTTACAAAGGAGAGTTAGGGTATTAAAAATTGTGTGAACTCAAGAGAAGGATAAGTTTTGAAAGTTAGAATGTTTTGGGAAGACATAGTGATTTTAGAGAGATTTTAGATGAAATGATGATGTGAAAAGCAGAAGTGTGTATCAATGTGTGCCTTTAATTACTCTTTAAAAGTGTGTTCTGTGTTTGCTGTTAACACCAAAATGTTGACTAGTAACTCAACAAATATGTAAGAAGATCCCAAACCTGCCAGGATTTTTATATATACTTAAGTTTTAAGTACATTTCAGTACTTTACTAGTAATACCTCTTTGTGGTATAACTGATTAGGCTAAATGGTGAGCTAGCACAAAACTCTATTGGAAAGATACCGAAGTGAGTAGAAGTTCAACATTTCATGCAGCGCAGGAACAGGGCCTTAGTTGCTTGCTGTGATAAAAGTCTTGTAACTTTTGAAAACCTTACAAAGACATTAGTTTTATCATGGAAATAGTGCTCTATTAGTGACACCAGCTGTTCTGGTCTTCTGCTCTGTGTCTCTGTATCATTGACAAAATTGTAGAAGGGATGAGCATTAGACCTGTGTTAAGGACGTCTGGTATACGAGTTACATTGTTCAATAAGAAGTCTGAAGGGGAGACATGCTGTACTGTCTAAAGTGTATCAAACATTTAAATTGAGGAAGAAAAAAACTCAGACCGTAAATTTTTTAAAAATCTTCTGAAAAATTTATGTGACATTTATGATGGTGTAATTTTAAAATACAGAAGGGGAGACTTGAAATTTCTCTCTTTTGAGCAGTTTCAATTAGTGCTTTGCTGTAGTTGAAGGCCTTTTGTGATTTTTTAATTCTATAATTTGGAAAAGTAAGGGAGTCTTGAATATTAAAACCCATATATGTGAATATATATATACCCACTGTTCTGAGCAGTTTGTCACTTAGAACTCAGCTTATGAACTGAGTTCCATTTTCTACTTTTGTAGGAATTTTATTAGTTTAAAACATTAACCCACAACTGTAGAGAAGTTTGCAGCTAAAATAACGCTGTATTTTAGTTGCACCTTTAAAATGCCAGTATGCTTCTCTATGTTTGTTTGTGGAGTTTCGCCTTCTAAACACAGCAGAAGTAGCTCTGGTTGTCCAAAGCACCATCTTGAATCTACAGATGATGTACATACTAAATAAAGCTGGCAGGAAATTGACAGTACTGTGTTTGCCCTAAATATAGGTCAAATTTTTCTAATAATTAAAAAAAAATTACTTTTTCAGGAGAGGGTTTGTCAACAAATCTGAATTACCAAAGTGTTCATGGGTGAATGGCCAGTATTTGCATTAAAATTAAATGAACTTAATACAGAATTTCGGTCTTAAGGGCTTTTAGAGGGTTTTTTACTCTGAGAGTAATTTGTGTTATGTCCTTTAAACCTGCGCTTGGTATCTTATTTAATCTTGAATAGCATTGAAGGTAGTAAGAAGCAAATCCATAAGTTACTTTAGAAAGGGAGATTTGAGACTCTTAAAAGTTCTTGCTTTCAAAAGTCATGTGATACCTATATTTTATGCTACAGTAGGCATTTTCCATGTTTTACACTTAGTTTTCCATGGTTTTGTTTTTCAGACTGGAGAAAAACTTTTTGAACTTCATGGACACACACACAAAATTACAGCTATAGCACCGTTTTCTTCGTCAGATGCTTTTGAAGAAAAAAGACATTTGATTATAACAGCCTCAGCTGATAGAACAGTTATTGTATCCTTTGATCTGGAGAATATTCAAATTTCTATCAGCTTTTTGTGATTTTTTCTTTTAAAGGTAGCACTGAGACAGGCTGCAGGCTGTCTCAAGACGTATTGGCCAATAATACCCACTGGGTGTAATTGCGTTACACAGGAGTTTTACTAGTTATTGCTCACAAGTAGATGTAGTCCTTGCTACAAAAATGAATCCATAACAGACCTTTATTAATATGCCATTTAGGCCAAATATTGAAAAGACAGAGTTTAGAAGACTGAGACACTGCATACCTCTTTCCTAATCTGTCACAAACACAGCATTTATATTTATAATGCATAGAAACATTTCAGTTTCCTTAATGAATAAAGACAGGTTTGGGACTGCACTAGTGGCAGACAGGTTCAGAAAGTGTCATGTTTCCATTCTACTGTAAAGGTATGCTAAAGAAACCTTATGAATGTCTGTTGTTTTGTAATATACAATAATTATTATGTATGGCTTGTAGGTCCTATGGGCAGGTGTTAAAATGAACAATGTTTGGTGTAAGCAGTGGTACATAATGAGTGGCTGAGAAGTGGGTGTTTTTCAGACTCTTAAAACCTCAATTTTCTTTTTGAAAGGATGTAGAACAAAGGTAACTGGTATGCCTTGGTTCTGTTACTGTGTTGCAAAAGACAACCTACCTTTAAATTAGTTGTTGACTCTTAATAGTAGGGAAAAATCAATGAAAAAGTAAGGTTTTGCATTGTTGATGAAAAATGTAGCATGTAATTAAATCTGTGTTTCTCAGGGAAGTGATACCTTGATACTGTGCTTCATAGTACTTACAGATTTATTTAACTAAAGCTCATGATCATTTTACTGAGAAATTCCCTGTAGAACTTTTGCAGGAGACATATATCTGATTTTTGTTCTGCAGTGTTTGACAGTTCTTCAAAGACTGGATGTATGGTTGTCTGGAGGGAGTGATCTATGTGTTTGGAACCGAAAATTAGATCTCTTGTGTAAGACCAGTCATCTTACTGATGCAGGTAAGAATGTAAATGACTCATTATAGCTGTTAAAGTGCAAGTAAAATGGATCTGTATAATGATGCAAAACCAACTTGGCAAATTTCCTTTAATTCTAATGATAACATTATTTATTAGAGCCACTCGCTCTTTTTTTAAATGTCAGACTTAATAGTTTCAGAATTAAGACTGCTTTTAATCTCCTGTACTGTGTGAATTTTAGAATATGTCAAATCTCAGTAACTGTACAATAACTTGGACTTACAGGGATAGACCTTGGATGCTGGTCTGTATGTGTTTGCTGTAACATGTACCAGATTCTTTGACTGGCTTTTTGTGTGATCAGGTGGGAGTTCTGTTATTCTTAAGTGAGCTTTGTAGAAGTAGAACAGTAGAGATTACTTTTTATTGTTAAGAATCAATACTTTTTATGTAGAAAATGCAGGTTTTGATAGGAATATAATAAATGTAATCAGATATCAGTGTCAATCATGCTTTTATATTAATAAATTTATATTTTGTATGTCCATATGAAGAAAATTGTCACATGTTATTGGCGTGCTTTACCAAGATACCTGTAAAACTGTGAATCCCATTTAAAGGTGGAACTAATATTGTCCTTATTTTTGTCATGGAATAGAGTAGTGGTAGGCAAAGCCTTCTGAATCTTTGAGGATATTAATACTTCTTTTGAAAGTATTGATTATGAAATGTTATGAAGTATTATGCTAAATACTAGCTGGTAGTGTTGCTGTGGTGCTTTGTATGAAGTGCTATTGAAACTGGTACAAGGAGTCAATGGGATGTGTAGCATGGGCCTTGTCTTCTATTCTAATCTCATGCTTCCTTTGTGGGGAAAGAGATTGCTTATTCCTTGGGGAATTTTTCTTTAATGATGTGGTGGCACAGACTGGGAAAATTTCTGTGCAGGATTAAGACAGACTAACAATTAAGACACAAAGCAAGTTGGACATCTTAGGCCTTACTCTTCTTCTGCTGGCTCTGCACAGTATTTTAGAATAGTGTGTATTGAGGTATGTACAGTATCTAATAACTTTGGTACTACCTTTGTTTAGAACCTTAATAATTACCATGGTGTCCTTAATACTGTCCAGCATTAGGACATAGATATCTTAACTGTATTTAAAATAAACTTTCAGTTTCACTGCAAGTTTGATGTCCAGAATTCTGCTGGATTCGGGACCAAAAGTCCTGACCTTGCCTCTGTTTGAGATGATCTATTCAATTCTGATGCCATTTAACTTTTATTTCAGGCAATATGCTTCTGTTTTGATTATAATTTCCAAGTGGAAGGAAGATTGTTAAGAACTTTATTAATAAGGAATTAACAGTTTGCTGTGTTATAACCAGTGGTTATCCTTTTCTCCCTTATCCCCTGTTTTTTTTCCAAAGGTATCAGTGCTTTGGTTGAATTGCCCAAAAACTGTGTTGCAGCAGCTGTAGGCAAAGAGCTAAGTGAGTATGTTGCATTTATGTGTTCATGTTCCTCTATAACAGCTGCTTATCAGAGATATGTGTAAAAAACACACTGCTGGAATTGTATAGGGAAAGTAAATGGTATTAGAGTGTGATCAGCAACCTTCTTTTTCCATTCTTTACGAAGAGGAGACAGTACTAATCTTTTTGAGGAATCTTATAGATGAAACTTTTCTATATTTAGAATCATAGAATTATTAGGGTTTGAAAAGACTTTCAAGATATGAAGTCCAACCTTGAACACCACCATGCCAATTAAACCATTGCACTAAGTGCCATGTCCAGTCATTTCTTGAACACCTCCAGGGATGATGACTCCGCCATATCCCTGGGCAGCCCATTCCAATGCCTGAAAAAATTCTTCCTGATATCCAACCTGAACCTCACCTGGTGCAACTTGAGGCCACTTCCTTTTGTCCTGTCACTTGTCACCTGGGAGAAGATGCCAGTCCCCACTTCGCCACAACCTCCTCTCAGGTAGCTATAGGGAGTGATGAGGTCTCTTTGAACCTGCTTTTTTTCATGCTAAACAACCTGAGCTCCTTGCTCTTAAGACTTGCACTCCAGACCCTTTGCTATCTCTGTTGCCCTTCTCTGGACGAAGTGAGGGGCCCAGAGCTGAACACAGCTGGATTTGAGGTGCAGCCTCACCAGTGCTGAGTACAGAGAGACAATCACTGCCCTGGTCTTGCTGGCCGCACTGCTGATACAGGCCAGGGTGCCATTGGCCTTCCTGGCCACCTGGGCACACTGATGGCTCATGTTGGTCAAGCAGGACCTGCCTTTCTTAAACCCATGTTGGCTGGTCCTGGTTCCCTGGTTGTCTTGGATGTGCTGTGTGATCACACTCAAGATAATTTGTTCCATCACCTTCCCTGGCACTGAGATCAGGCTGACAGGCCTGTAGTTCCCTGGATCCTCCTTCTGACCTGTCTTGTAGGTGGATGTCACACTGGTCAACCTCCAACTGACTGGGACCTCCCTGGTTAACCAGGACTGATGATAAATGACAGAGAGTGGCTTGGCGAGCTCCTCCGCCAGCTCACTCAGTGTTAATGCCACCTGTCCAGATCTGTCTGGGGCAATTGACATTTGTCCTAGTGCAGAAGGTCTGGGACTGCTTATCTGAGCTGTCAGATACTAGGCTTCTCTAGAGCCTCCTTATCCAAGGATCAGAAGCTATAATGAGACAGTGTGATGATTTCTTTTGCTCAGTTGGAGACAGAATTATCTATGTATGCAAACTGTAAGTCATTGGCTAGCTGTTGGTGGAGAGTCTTTTTGGTAAGTGCTGTGTAAAATTACTGAAATTTCAAAATAGGGAATAAAATCCAGGAGCAAAAGTAGAGCATTATATCAGCAAAAAAGCAGATGTTGCTCAAGATGATTAAATACTTAGTTGAAAAATTAGCAACCTGATACTTTGATCAAAGAATCAGGAACAAATTAAGAATAGTCCTCTTGTGTTTAGACATAGAGATACAATACAAACTTCCATCTAAACTTCCCACACTTCTTTTGCAGTACCCTTGAGATAGAAAAGAAATTCCAAGACTGGTTAAAATAAAGCCTTAATTCCTGATGATCTCAATTGTCTTACTAGAGAATATTGCATCCTTTTGAATATTAATTTTTCAGTGAGATGAGTCCTCAAGAAACGTTTCACTTTTAGTTTACTTATCCATAAAGATGTCTAATACTTTTCACTTCTGCTTTCTGCAGCTTCTGATGTTGACCAGGTCTATAAATTTCAGAGTAACAAGGCTAAAATGTTTTATCCTAGAGTTGCTGTAGTAAGAGGCCTTAATGATAACACTGAAATAATTCATTCCCATTTTTTGATGTCATGAGTGACCATAAGTCCTGTCTCACTTATGTTTTAGTTTGTGCCTCTCTGAAAACGATGTGTTTTATTTAAGTATAGTTCCATCTTATTCTGAATGAAAGAGCTTATTTAGACAATTTCTCTTTCTTTGAAGTAATTTTTAGGTTGACTGATTCTAACAATGAGTCTGAAGGTTGGAATGTCCTTGAAGTAAAGCGCCTTGTTGACCATCAGGATAACATTTTGTCATTAGTCAGCGTCAATGGTAAGAGTCGTTTTGTAATGTTACTGCTTTTGTTAGTTACCAGTGGGATAAACCTATGGAGTTTTTTTGGGACCAGAGTTTTAACTGGAGTGAAACTACTTTACTAGTGGATGTACTATCTTGTGTAGCTGCAAAGGTAGTGACATGTCAAAATATAATTGCATTGTTTATGGATTAACAATGGGATGAAACCAGGCAAGTTGCAGTGCTGAAGAGAGATAATGTCATTGATGAAAATGGAGCTCTGGGTCTTCTTTCTGTTAGAAAAGTTAAAAATGCTACTTTTTCCCTTACTCCTTCTGACTCTTAAAATGGGATATGCGAGGCCATGTTCCTTGTGGTTGTTGTCCCAAGGTAACTGAAGGTTCTGAGGGTGCAGATGTGGGCCTGCATAGAGATTGTAGAGGGTCTGGAAGATGATACAGTCTCTACTGCTTATTAGGGCAATACTGAGCTATTACCTGAAATTCAGCCCCTTCTACTCTGTTCTTGCCTTTTTTTTTTTTTTTTATGGAGCACCCACAGAATCCAGAACAAGTTATTATTGGTGTAATAGAAAGTATGTATTTGTCCTTGAGTGTATGTGTCGGCCTGGTTGGCACAAAGGGACTTTGTTACAGAGGTAACAAGAAGCTGGAAAAAAAAGAAAACTTACATTCCATGGTACTTGTTTCTGGGCTTAACTGTTGTCATTATTGTCTCCTTTTGGATTACGAAGAACAAGCAGTGTTTGACTTAAAGAGACAATATGCTACCTGCATTAAATATTGCTGTAGTGGTTCCTTCCCAGGTATGAAAAACAAATTCATGACGAGCTACTTCAGTCTTGCCATCCACTTAATTTGTGATCTGTAATTCTGTTTATGGCATAGACATACTTTGTTGCTTCTGAGGGGTGTCCAAACACCTACTTGTCCAAGGAATAGAAGGGCTTTTTATGTAGAAATGGAGTTCAAGTACTTGTACATACTTCTGGTGGTGTTCCTTGCCTTTGCTATGCAGTACTGTGCACTGTGGTCAGTGAATGTTCTCCTTCCTAATTTTAATTTTACAGGAGAGCTCATCTCCTTTTGCTCATCTGAGGTGTGCTAGGTAATAAAATGAGTATTTACTCAAAGAAAGGGGGTTTAGTCCAGTCAGTTATGTACTGCACATTGTACATAGCTTTACACGAAAACGAGCACTCTTACCTTTCTAGGGTTGTAACTTTGTGTGAAATGTCACTTTTCAATATAATGTTTTTTTCCCCCCTACAGACTTGACTTTTGTGACCGGCTCTCACGTAGGTGAGCTAATAGTTTGGGATGCACTTGACTGGACAAAGCAGGCATCTGAATGCAACTTCTGGGACTCCTCTGTCCATCCAGATGTACAGCCAGAAATAAAGTTATCCCAAAGCCCAAATGAAACTTCAGTTCAACACCTAACGTCTGATGAGGAGGTAAAAAGCTTTAAATACAGTAAACTAATTCAAGTAAGCTAGGATGACCTTACCACAGAAGACCAACTGCTTTGTGTTTTCAGTTTCCTTGTTTTAATATGAGAGATTTCTTCTAAATGTGCACAGCTATTTTTGTACAGTCAACAGTTTTTGTATAAAGTATTGGGTGTTGAGCTAACTGAAGGTTATAATATGTTGATGGTATTGGGAACTAACATAATGGACTTTCAACAACAGCATTTCTTTTTGACTGACAAAGATTTATTAGCTGTTTATAGTACCACTAGAGAAAAAATAAACAGGAGGTGTATGGTTTTGATGGCATACATCTTTCATATTCCATTCTTCTGGAAATGCAGTTTTCACAATAATGCACCTTTGAACATTTATATCTGAAGGTACTATGGAGTGAATTTAAGAATAGGCATATGTCTATGCTTAATAGTAAATCAATATTGCTCCTACTGTTCAGATGGGCCATACTCAATTGTATACACAAATATGTATACAGGATCCAGGCTACTGTAATAATGCTTTGGACATAAGTTCTTGATCAGAATACTCTGTCAGAACCCAGTTATTGTTCAGCAAACACTAAAAGTTGTCAGGTTATAACTTACTTTTGTGAAATGTTACCAACTGTTAGTGGCAACGTAAAAGACGTTTCATAATTGTCACGTAGGTCAGTTACTGGGGAATGATTAAGAAAGGGATTCCTGGAAATGGATTCAGAGATATGAGCTATAACAAAGTAAAAGCTGTGGAAAAGCCTGAATTCCTAAAACTCTGGAGAGAGAAACATTATGGGTTGTGGGCAGAAAAAAAGATGTGGTTATATCTAAAGGTAGGATTTGCAGTGTTATCAATGCTTATTTCTACAATGAGCCAAAAGGAAATTTTATTTAGGGTGAAATCTATAATATGGCTTTAAAATACTTTGATTTTCTGCTTGAAAGCTACACAAGATATGTTTTAAGGGAGGGGAAAAGAATTTTGAGAAGGTCAGAAGTTGTTATAACATTGAACGCTTTCTTCCGTGCATGGAACTGAACTAAACAAATTGCTGTGAATTTCATTCATCGTGAGAGTTTTGAATGGTGAGAAGTAAAGGTGGTTCTAGCGTTAATCCTGAAATAGAAGCTGTTTTAAGGCAGAGCTGTCTGTATTGTAAAGGTCCGACTTAAAAAGTGGTGAAGAAATGTGTTTTTATAACGCAGATGTTTTAAAATGTGTTTTTAAAAGCAGAACGCTGTTCTTCATGTTAAAAAAAATAATGCAAAATATGTGTTTTCTCTGTTTTCCAGGCTTGGTGGTTGGGTGGTTGGAGAAGATGCATGTGTCTAGTTTGACACTGAGATTGTAGGCAAAACATGATTCAGAAACAAATGGGGTGGTATAGGTTTGGCAGTACTGGGAAACAGTGCTAGGGAGTGCGTCTGGTGCCCTGATAAGCGTGTGTTTGTGTTTAGTTGCCTTTTAAGATAGATGTACAATTTATGCTTCATCATCTTTTATTTTCTTGGGGTTTGAGATGACCGGGATTTTGCCAGGGCTTGTGAAAAAAGAAAAGTGCTCCATGAAAAGCATCTTTTGCAAAGCTGTAAGACTGTGTGACTCATGGGGGAAGAGTGATGTGGAAGACCACTGAATTTGAAGCTCACACAAAACTAGGAAGATAATACAAAATGACTCAGTGGGTTATTTTTCCTCTTGATTCGGTAATGGTGCTATCAGAAATCTGTTTAGTTTCAGTGCTTCCACAGCAGATGTGCATAAGAAAAAAGCCAAAACTCTGAACAAAAACCTGGATAAAGAGTTTTGAACAGTGTCAAAACATCATTGAATATATATACAGAAAATCTTAGTCAAAGACAGTGGGTTACAATTTTTACAAAATATTGACAGATGTGTAGTGTGAACTGATTATGAGACATTGATGTTTGGGTTGTGTAAGTGGAAGCAGGCCATTCAGGGAAATGTTCCAGCATTATATCACCGTACATCACCTAAACAAGATATGTTCAAAACTGCAAAAATGTATTGAATGGAATCATTTTGCACGCTCCTGGTACTGAATATTAATCGTCTGTACATATGATTGTACATTTGCCCGCTCTAAGATTGTCACAAGTCACAAGAGGGTCCAGGTCCAAAGATGTGTAAGCTGTTTCTGGCTTCTTAGGGTCATGATGGTTGTAGGATGGAATGCCTGCACTCTTCTGAAGAAAAGCATTGAATGCAAAATGCACTATTGTGTAGTACTTTCCTGTGAGAGAGTTCCTTTTCTGCACTCAGTAGTTGAAATACTTGAACAAGACCTCCTTGTCCAGCTTCAGTTAAATTTCAAAAAGAGGCAAAAATGCAGAACAGCTTCCTGTATTCTCGGGCTTTCTTGATAAAACAAAAGTTTTTCAAAACACAGAGCATTATTTTAGTGTAAGAAAGTAAATGTTTAATTGCAGAAGTGTATTGATTTGTTGGTATCCTTGATTACTGCTTAGACTGTAAGGTACAGGTTAAAAATACAGACACTAAATAACTGCTTAGAGTATAGGAGGATATCGCACATTTGCTCAAAAAAAAATCCATATTTTTTTATATGACTTACTAATTTCAGATGTTTGGGATAAGGCAGCAACATGAGGACAGAAACAAGCTGGATAGTGCAGGCTAGATGACATCACAGTATCTCTGGAAATCTGTTACATGTGGGATGATTTTTCAGTATCTGTTTCTGCAAGTTGTTCCATTAAATTTTTTTTCCAGTATGTGTTTGCTGCTGTTGGGAAAGGCATATACGTATATAATCTTCAAATGAAGTGTGTGATTGCCTGCCAGAGAACTGCTCACGACTCCTCTGTGCTGCACATCGAGAAGCTTCCAAACAGGTACAAGTCATAGTACATTTAGTTAATGCAATAAAGAAAAGCAAAACTTGGAAGGGTGACTAGACAGACTGCAAAGCTGCATCTGATTTCTAGGGCAGGGCCTTATCTGCAGTTCGATCTGCTTTTATTAGGTAGAGCTTGTTGATCAGGTTTTTGAAAATTCATCATTGTAATTCAATGGGAAAAAACTATAATCCAGTATATCCAGACTGGTACACAGGCTGAAAATATCTCAGCTATTTTCAAAATCAGACCTGATAAAGCACTTTTGTCTACATTGTGAAAATCCAGCTTAATGGCATTTTACTTCTATAAAGCAAAGGCATATGACATATTCAGTAAATATTTTTCACTAAATATTTTGTAACAATTGAAATGTTTTAACATAAAGTAATAATTTCCAGCCTTTGTTCATTAGTGCTGAATTTCTAGCTCGATCTTGATTTGAGAGCCAACTTGGACAATTTGCTGCATATATATATATATATATATATATATATATATATATATATGTATATTCTAATAGTAGTTGTGTTAGATCCCTTTATACTCTTGTTCAGTGGAGCAAAAGTCTATCAGAAGATAAAAATTAGGGCCTTGATTGTGTAAATGCATGTACTTTATGAAATAGGGTACCTTTCCTTTTGTTATTTTTCTGTAAGAAAAGGTTTTTGCTTAATGAAAATAAGCTTATGGACACCATTTAGTTGAACTATGTTTGCAGAGTCTAAACTTATGTTTTGTTTTACATAGTGGTATGCTTTTAAAAGGGGGTGGAAAATGTTTATTTTTTCCACCTACTCTACAAGCCTGTTATAGTTTGTTCTGCTACAGATGCACTTTGAGGCAACTTGCTGTCTCTTTTATAGAAACATCACAAGGTGATTTTCACAGATAAGTATCCAATGCTAGTGTTGCTTATCAACTGTTTTTACAGGCAGCTGATCTCCTGCTCAGAAGATGGCAGTGTGCGCATTTGGGAACTCAGAGAAAAGCAGCAGCTGCCAGCTGAACCAGTTCCGACAGGTTTGCTAGTAGTGGGGGGTGAAAAGAACATTTCAAAACATAACAGGAGACCAAATATTCACCATATAGGAATAGAGAGGCTTTCAGGCTTTGTAAGAAGAGATAATATATTGTGTTCAAGCAACTGATAACAGGTCTGGGTGAGAAACTGAAGAAGGGTTGGGTATACAAACCCCCCAAGATCTGATATGGGACATTAAAAGGTCTAGGTAAAGCAGTTCTGTACCATAAAGCTTATTTAAAGTTTACACTTGTATCAGCCAGTTTAACAAAAATTAGGACTTCTCCTGACAAACCTTCATCCTTCCCTGTTTGTACCAAATAGTGCTGAATCCTCTACCATGCAAGATTAAATAGTTGCAGAACTATGTGCAGAAATCTAGAAAAACTTGCAGATGAGCAGCTGGCACAAAAAAAAGGAAGTGTTTTCCACATCTCCTCTTTGAACTTTGAATATATTGGGACTCACTTTGAGGCTGTATACAACCTCACTTGCATACTGCCTCTGGGCATTGGAGTCCTCAGGGCTAGTTGCTGGTGTTAGAGCAGCATTTTCCTCAAGTACAGACATTCACAGAATTACAGAATGGGTCAGGTTGGAAGTGACCACAGTGGGTCATCTGGTCAAACCTCCCTGCTAAAGCAGGGTCATCCCAGAGCACATGGCACAGGATTGTGTCCAGATGGTACTTGAGTATCTCTAGTGAGGGAGACTCCACAACTCTCCATTACTCTCTTGGCAGTCTGTTTCAGTGCACAGTCACTCGCACAGTAAATAAGTTGTTCTATATAATCAGATGAAACTTCCTGTGCAGCAGTTTCCGCCCATTGCCTCTTGTCCTATTGCTTGGCACCAGCAAGAAGAGCCTAGATCCACCCTCTTAACACCCTCCCTTCAGGTGCTTAGACATTGATGAGATCTCCTCTCAGTTGTCTCTTCTCGAGGCTGAACAGGCTCAGTTCCCTCAGCCTTTCCAGATGCTTCAGTCCCCTCATCATCTTTGTAGTTGGACCTGCTCTAGGAACTCCATGTGTCTCTTGTCCTGAGGAGTCCGGAATTGGACGCAACACTCCAGGTGAAGCCTCACCAGGGCTGAGTAGAGGGGCAGGGTCAGCTCCCTCAACATGCCCAGCATTCGCTCCCGGCAGTGCTTTTTGTAATGCACCCCAGGATATCACTAGTCTTCTTGGCCACAAGGCCTCACTGCTGGCTCATGGACACCTTGTTGTCCACCAGGACACCTTGTTGCCCTTGTTGACTTTCAGACAGTTCTTCTCTGCCCATTGCTCCAACCTGTTGAGGCCCTTCTGAAGGGCAACACAGCCCTCTGGGTTATCGGCCACTCCTCCCAGCTTTGTGTCATCAGTGAACTTGCTGAGGAGGCATCTGTCCCTTCATCCAAGTCATGGGTGAACAAGTTAAACAATACTGGGCCCAGCATTGAACCTTGGGGGACACCACTAGTGACAGGCCTCCAGCTAGACCCTGTGCCTCTGGGATCTGCCATTCAGCCAGTTCTCAATCCACCTCACTGTCCACTGATCTAGCCCACCGTTCCATCCTTACAGCCTGTAAGGATGTTGTGAAAGACAGTGTTGAAAGCTGTGCTAAAGTTGAGGTAGACAATACCCACTGCTCTCCCCTCATCCATCTAGGTAGAAAGTGCTTCATCGCAGAAGACAATCAGGTTGGTCAAACATGACTTTAGTGAGCCCATACTGACTACTCCTGATCACTTTCTTGTCCTCCATGTGGATAGAGATGTCCTCCAGAATGAGTTGCTCAATCACCTTTGGAGGGATTCAGCTGAGGCTGACTGGCTGGTAGTTCCCTGGGTCCTCCTTCTTGCCCCTTTGAAGACTGGGTTCACATTTGCTATCTTCAGTCATCAGACGTCTCTCCTGATCTCCATGACCTTTCAAAGATGATTGTGAGCACCTTGCTGTGGTGTCTGTCAACTCTTTCAGCCCTGGTGCATCCCGTCAGGGCCCGTGGACTTGTGGATGTCAGATTTTCTAGGTGGTCTCTAATCCAATCCTCCTTGACTAAGGGAAAGTCTTCCTTCCAGCATTCCTTTACCTAGTCTCCCAGGTCAGAGATTCCTGAGGGCTGGCCTTGTCAGTGAAGACTGATGCAAAGATCAATAACTCAGCCTTCTCTGCATTCTCTGTAACCAGGGTTCCCCCTCCATTTGGTAACGGGTCCACATTATCCTTAGTTTTCCTTTTGTTACTGATGTATTTGAAGAAGCCCTTCTTGTTGTCTTTCACATCCTTGTTTATGTTTAATTCCAGATGGCCTGCCTTGTCTCATTTCTACTTGTTCTGAGAGTCTCTCTATATTTATTCTCAGTGGCCTGACCCTGCTTCTGTCTCCTGTGTATTTTCTGCTTATGCTTGAGCAGTGACAGGAGTTCCCTTGTAGTGCTTGGTACTTTTTGACCAGGCCAGCAACTTCTCTGCACACTGGCAGTTGTGGCCTTAGACAGGTGCTCTGGACAATATAATTAGTATTAAGAACTGGGAACAGCAGTAGACTTGCTCTCTTGTAGGAACTTTTTTATTCAAGCTGTGTATAATTTTCTTGATGTATCTTGTTTACCTGGCTGTTCATCTCCTGTTGGTAACTTTTGCAAATATATTTTTGCTGCCTGGCTTGATTTAGAAACATTTTTTTCAGGAATGTTGTGTCTTCAGTATTGCTGGTGATGGCTTATCTACACAGTGACCGGTGGTATTTGGCTTCACATTGGAAATTTATAACTTCTATGAATCAAGATGTTTGAAAGAAACCAGTGAGATGTTGCTGTTGATTTGCTCTATTTTTATTCTAGGGATCCCCTGAGAGGTTGTTCATCTTACCAGTTACCTCCCTTGCACTAGGGCCATGGTTTAGCACACTTCTAGTTTTGTGTGCTGATGGGGCCGAGGGAAGGATTGGGAATAAAGTCTGAACTGCACAGTGAACAGAACCCAACTGTCTTACTTCTGTCAGTACTATTGCATAGTTCCCCTGGTGGCTGTGGCTGTGCTAGTGGAGTACTGTCTTTACAGTCCAGTTTGGCTGATAGTTTTAAATCTGAATGAAGAAGGCAATGGGCCAACACTTTAATGCTGTAGTGCAGGACATACGGGACAGACTGGTGCCTCATTTTTCTCCTCTTTGCACAAGTAACAGTTTAGGAGCGCAAAGCAAAGTGAACATCAGTGTCCTGCATCTACCTTTGCTGTTCAGTTAGTTCATTTAGGAAGTCTTTGTGTTTCTTCTTAAATCTGTGTATTGTCTCATCCAGGTGTGTAATTCAGCATGTTTACTAAATTATATCTAATTAGGATATCTAATGTGTTTCCTTCCTCCCTCAAGATGAATAATGCAGATATAAAAATGCTGCAAAGTACAGTGCTTCTGTCATTTTGCCATGTAGACTGTCTTGTTTTTAGATTTTATGTGGCTCTTCAGCTAGAGGAAATAAATTGTATTTGTTATTTTTGCCAAACGAGAGACTTTTCTTCCCCCAGGGTTTTTCAACATGTGGGGCTTTGGAAGGGCAAACAAGCAGGCAAATCAAGCTGCCAAGAAGATGCAGGAGAATACACCTATGTATTTCTTGGAGCTGGTTGGGGATTTGATTGGTCATTCATCAGCTGTGCAGGTAAGTCAGCTTTAGTAAGAACAAGAAAAAGTGAATATTAGTAAGCAATGTAAATTTGACAGCGTAAATTTGAGAAAACAGCTGTAAAGCTGTAACTTTTGACTGTCTGGGTCTGGAGGCTGGGAGCACATTGCATGGTATATTTAGTGCAGTATGAAAACAGTAATACATACTGACTTAATATTCTAGTGAGAGCTTGCTCAATGATGCCTGAGGATTGTGTGTGCATATATGCACATACATGCTACAGATAATCTGGTAGTGTATTTAGTTTCTTTTATAGACTGCAGACAGTACAACTGGGAACCACATGCGTGACCCAGATTTCATCTTAAGTTCACAATCTAAACAAGGGCTTATGCAAAACAAAACACATTCAGTAATGTCTTAGCCTTCTGCACTGTGAGCATTAAGGAGGTCTTTTAATGTTAGATCAGTTACCATTCTATGCTTCTCTATGCCTAATATAGTATGTTTTTCTTTTAAATGGCATTTTCCCTCCACACCTTTCTGTGTTTGACAATCTGTTGGAGTAAGAAATCACTTTCTTACAGTGGACTTCTGTACACATTCTTGGAAGGAGCAGGGGGAAGGGCAGATAGAGAGGAGCGCTGTGATTCTGGAGTAGCTTTGCTCGCAAGTATTCATGAGACTGATGGGATATCAGAACTGCTGCTGCTAAAACCTGAAAGTTTTTCTTTAAAAGCTAAGGTGGTGAACCCTTCTGTTATCTTTCTTTTGAAAAATGGTTAAAAGGGGTCTTATTACTGACTTGGAAAGTTGCTATCTAAGAAAGAGGACATAGTGTGTAATTCAGCGAGGGACACAGCATAAGAAGGTGAGAGGCGTATGTTGGGTCTTGGCTTGGGATGCTGCAGAGTCAAGGGGTAATGGAGATCATGGTGGATGTGATTTCCTGCAACCTTCTACATGTGGAAAATCATGGGGTTTTTTTTAAACTATGGGCAGACTGGAGCTGTTGAGGAAGAAAATGTTGAGTAGTGATGAAATGTGGTGGCCAAAATGAGGGTTTGGGAGACTATTTCTACTGAAACTCCATAACTAGTAAGTGGCTGTTCCCAGAGCAGGTAAACCTTGTCCTGAATGCTTTCCCTGACCAGATCCCTTCAAGAAAATGAAGGGACAGGGCACTGTGAGCATGCCATAGGGACATTGCTGTTGGCTATTGTGTTGAACTGCAATTAGTGGTTAATTTTGGGCAGCCTTGTGAAGGTCTCAGAAGTCAGGAATGACCTCATGACTTGTCAGCTCCATTGGTCTTGCAAAATCCCTCCACTGCTGCTGTACTTTTCTCCTGTGTTGTATTTCTTGCATGTTTGACTTCTTCTGTGTGATCAGGTATGTGCTGATGTCTGTCACAATTGTTTGCTCTTTGATCCTTCCAGGCCTGGTGCTAGTAGTCTGTTGTGTTGTAGGGAAGGGGACAGTGTACCCAATGAACAGAACAGGCTTCTGTTCCTAAGAAACCAGATCAAAGTTCAGACAAGTCATTCACTCTTTTGTTGCTCACTTGGAACAAATTGCTTCAAGATTCTGTCTTTTAGTGCTTTCTGTCCATAAGGTTTTAGTGCTATTTTGAAAAGATCTTGCAATGTGAAGTGCTGTTTAAAGAGTTTTTTTGTGTAGTGATTTTATGATCTCTCAAATGTACAGTATACAGTGTCATTTTGCATACCTATCTATAAGCAAAGCCATTTCAGATATGTGTATTTGTTTAGTCCAGCTGTAAACTAAATAGTTAAGCAAGCTGACCATCTCATGCAAGCATCATGGTAATAATAATTGTTTCATTGCAGATGTTCCTGTACTTTGGTGAACTGGGATTGGCTACATGCTCTGCTGACCACCTCATTATTTTGTGGAAGGATGGTGAACGAGAATCTAGCCTCCGCAGTTTAACACTATTTCAAAAATTGGCACAAAATGGTGATTTGCAGCTCAAGCTTTAAATTGCTTGAATACAGGCTACATATATGTAAAGTGGATGTGTGTTAAACCTGAGTGTAAGGTAATGTCTGAGCTACTGGGAATCTGACTACCAGTAACGCTTACACTTGATGTCATGTACTATATTGGAAATTTTATTAGTTGCTATTACTCTTCTGAAAGGAGAATTTTGCATGTTGGCTTACTCTGTCAGCAGAAATGGTGTTCTATTGAAAGACTGAAGATAATTAAATAGTTTCTAATGTTGTTCCCACATGGGTGGATGTCAAGATTTGTGAAAATCCTCAGATGAATCATAACTAAAACAGTTAGGGGTATCCACAGTGCTATGTGCAGAAAGGAGGCATGGCAAAAAATCTGCAGCATAAACCCCAAAATACAGTGACAAAATGACAAAAGCTGAAGAACCACAAACCAACCCCAAAGCAAACAAACCAACAAAAAAAAGCAAAGTTAACCCCAGAACTGATAAAAAGAAAGGGTGAGGGAGAATGAGATAATGAGTGATAAGTTACCATTTGAACAAGAAGAGCTAGGGAAAGGGAGAATTTGGGAACTTAGTGGGTGCTACTGTCCTCAGGTCTACTCAGAAGATCCAGTACTTAATGGTTTAGGACTAACTCTTGTGCAGCTTTTGAATGCCATCTCTTCCCTTTGAATCTATAAGAATTGGTTTCAGTACAAGAGACTACAAGGGTGTAACTTGGTACTTAAGATACAATGTTTGCAGTAAGTGCAATTAAAACAAAGGGCTAAGCAGATCCTGGCAAGAGTAGAAGCAAAAGGAGGAAGCTCCTAGTTTCCTAGAAGAAACCAAGAAGCCTTTTAGACTTGCCTTCCTCCAGTGGCTGTGGGCACTTCCTCCTACTACCCAGAAGCCAAGCTTTGCCTCTTGAGTCTGACCATAATCTCTAGAAGGTAGAGCAGAGGGACAATAAGATTTTGAGCTGTATTTTTTTCCTACCTAAGTCAACTAATTACCTATAGGTAATCTTATTTTGAGTAGTCAATTCAAAATAACTTGTTTCAAAACCACAAAACAGGTGGGGAAATTGTTAAACTGCTGCCTTCTTTCAATTCAGGAAGGTTAAATCAGTGTTAAAACTTGAACTGCATGTTCTTTGCTCATTGGCTCTTCTTTTGGCCAGCCTAGGAAAAGCATTTGGATTACACCTGAGGATAACATACTTCTGGTTTTATGGTATTAAATTGGAGAGAGAAAGGCATGTTAAGTCTGCATCGTTTCACCTGATCTTCATTGCATTTTTGGCTTCCCCAGCACAAGCTGAGGAGATGAAGTTTTATTTTGGCTCTTTGCCTTGTTTCAACTGAGAACAGTTCAGTTGTTTATAAAGTGTGTGTTTACACATTGTTACTAAACCTTTAAAGTGAAAGCTTATAAAAATTAGATTATTTGGAGAGAATACTGCTATCATCAGTTATAGCTAGAGACAAGAAAGCTCATATTTTTATTCTCTCTTATACCATGAGAACAACTATTTCCTTTTTATGTGACTGCTTTTAAGTGAATACCTGGTAGGAAAACAGACCTATTTAACTAAACAGTTCTAGTCACAAAACTCACTGTGCAATTTACAGGGATGTAATTCATCCTTAAATAGTCCTACATGCATGTATAAATATTTATAGCTATCAAAAGTGCCATTGTTCTCAGATACACTCCATTGGCAATAGATCTCCCAAGGGTCTCTTCCTTTAAAGATGGTTGAGTTGAAAGTATTAAATTTTGTTTTACAAATGAACTTTGAGCATAACAGTGAACATAGTAACAGTATACTGTCCCATTCCTCTGCTAAATGAGAGTTTGTCACTTGCTGCTGGGAGGTGCAATGAGCACAATTATGGTGACCAGATGAGAATTTTTACTTCTTACTTACGTCGTTTTAAACTTTATTCCACCTTTCGATAACACAGAATTCTGTATGTTCACACCATCAAAGTAAATATCAGACCTACTCTTAATACTTTTACAACTCTGAGGTGACTGTCTTACACATCTGTGCACTGACAATAGCATGAAACAAGCAGCTGTTAGTCACTGGACTAGTCTAGGAGATCTGACACAGCTGGCAGATGACGATTAATCTGTGCTGATTTATTTTGCTCCTAAAGAGGGCCTATCTCCACAGAGATTGGTCTTTTTTTACTTACTCTGACTGTGGGAAGAAACACGTGATCTTGCAACAAATGTATTGATTCCACATTAACACCTTGGCCTCAGTTCTTGTTCACAAGTTGAACTTTATTTTTTAGATTCCTTCCACTGTTCACATTTTTTTTTCTTGTGACAGAAGTGTGACAAAAATTATGAATTGAAATGTTTTACATGGATGTGGTCTTACAGTGTTGCTGTATTTAACAAATTAAGCTTTGAATCTTAGGAAATTCTTTTCTCTAATGCAAGCTGCAGTGAGCATTCAGTTATCAGAATAGTTAAGGTACAACCACCGAGAGCACTAGTTCTAAATAAAGAAATGAAAGAAGCAAACAGTTTACAGTATTAGAAAACAGACGTTCAACTAATCTGAATAAAAATCCATTGAAGAATGTTGCCATAGATAATAGGAAAGAATGAAGAAACACACTTCACCAGAAACACAGTTCTTCAAGTATACACAACAGAGCATTTTAATACACAGCAACCTGCCTTAGCTATGACAAAAGTAAGGATCTGTTACAATTCTAACAAAAATATAGCTTATATACATTTCTCTGCACATACATTTTATGAATGTTTCCTTTTGTTTCAGAACTTGGTACAAAACATACAAAAAAGGTTGGCACATTATGTAAGCTACCTGCAGTAAACAGCATTGTCACTATGTTACCACAGCAGCCTCAATGCTGTTTGCCTTTTTTTTTTCTTCTTTATCCAGTTTGATTCTTAATACAGCGTAGGGGGAGTGGACTGCTTCTTCAACTGCAGCCACAGCTTTGACAGTCTTGCCTGAAGCCTGGAGTGCACAGTGTTAAAAATCAGCAGTTCTGCTCGTATTTATTAACTGAATAATCTGAGAATAATCTAAAATTTGAACTCATGTTCTGCCTGTGATTAAAATGAGATGTACAAAAATATGCATTTGTGCTTTGAAAGCCTTAGCATAAATTTAATATCTTAAAACTAATGAAAAACTATGTTTGATTTCTAACTTATTTACATATTTTGAAGTACTTTTTACATCACAAAACAAAACATCATTTTATTAGGAGGATAAAGCAGTAAAAATTGTAATGCTGTTATAAATTATAACCTGGAAATTTTTTTAAAAAGCAACGGGTTCATCCTAGAAGTAAGTAGCACAATACTGAACATATCATAAAATTCAGATCAGTTTAATAAAAGTGATGACCATGCATACAAACTCCACTTTATAAAAAAAGGATGGTGATCAAGTGCCATAATAGTTTTCATGTAAAATGTGATGAAATCTTGCATGATAATGTCTGTAAGATGGCAGAGAACCATGGCGATGGCACCAGCTATACAGAACATGCTTATTTTCCTTCATTATATGATCAGTTTTAGGGGACATTGACTCCTACCAAGATTTTATATGGAAAAGAAAGAACAGGTGGTGCTCTGAGAGAGAATCTCTATAATAAGAAGAAGGTTGATTTAAAAGGTGCCAGCTTTGGGTTTTTTACTATATCCAGTTTATTGAGGTTTTATTGTTCTACTGTGCATGTTCTTTTTAGAAGTATGGTTCAGAGAGCTGAAGAACATTGATAGAATTAGAACAAATTTATATGAGATAAGTGGGAAATTTTTATGCTTATTTGTCAGGCTATTCTCACTCTCCTGGTGACTACATTGCCCCTCTGTCTGAGAAACAGTTGTGTGAAGTGTAAGTGAATACAGTTGTATCAACTACAAGATTCAACAAGTGCATATTCAGTATTAGAAATTAGTTTCAGAAGTACCTTTGCTGCCACAAAATATTATTTCCAAAGAGCACTTAGTCATCTGTGGATTATATAGCCTCATTTAAAAACATTTTTCTGTAGAATTCAGAGAAGCTTAAAAATTATGCGTGAAATATTTCCTTCTCGTTACGTAGTCTTAATCCACTGGAAAGGTAATATCATCCCCTTTGTAGCCAAGAGTCCGTAAGTGATTCACAGTGAAACTGGTAGAGCAAGAGGTCTTTTTTTTGATTTTGTGTCAGTTGTTGTTTTCTGATGGAAGCCTCAGACTCTTGCACTTTAAATCATCCAGTGTTTTCCAGTGTTTATAGTTATTAGCCAAGTGTTGCATCAAAACAGGGAGATGTGCAAATGCTGAAAGAACAGGAGAAACAGTTGTACTGTGTATACAGAATGGGCAGAAGAACAGCCCGACGTCGTCTGAAATTGGCATTCTCCTACTTCTTTTGTTCCTTCAGCTCCTTAAACTAATACTAAAAGGGGAAAGATTTTTTTAGTGTGTTTCTCTTTCAAGAAAATTCCTTTCTTAATGCAGGATGACTTTATTAAATTATGCTAACACGGAACCACATTGGTCTTAGTTTCTGCTGCTCAGAAGAAATACATTGCTAAAGGAAAAAAAAGTAGATGAGAAAAAGCTTATTTTTAAGCCATTACTCTTCCTCTACATAGATTGCCTGGTAAGTGCTCAACTTTATAAAGCGTGTGTTTTGTGCAGTGAAACAGGCTTCAGCAGTATCACTGCACAATATCCTGTGCTGTACTGCTTATGTACAGGTACCGACCCTCAAAAAAGTGGACTCAAGGCCAGTTTGAGATGAGTCATTTTAGTCTGTAGGAATATCTGCTTCAGAGCAAGGAAGAAGAAGTAAGCAGAAGTACTTACCATCCCATGCATCAAACATATCTGTTATAAAATAATCAATGAAGGAAATCTGAGACTTGGGGATGCTGCAGGTGTTTCTGTCAAATACTGGCATTACAACAGGCAGACCCTGTCTAAGAAGACAAAACTCCAGTTAGCCACTAAAGCTTTGCTGACTTCCATGCTGGAGTAGCAAAGCTCAGGGGATTAGATGAATTGCAGTAGGAGATTAGACACAAACCTTAGAACCCCTGAGGTGAAATGCCTCAGTTTCATGTGTGTTATTTCATCTAGAACAGGGACTGAAATCAACATCCCTTTCCTTTCACAAGTACTCTTATTTTTGTAGTTCTGTGATTGCACTTAGCTCCAGCAAGACAGAATGCTCTAATCAGGTGATTAGGGTACACCAGCTAAAAAATGGAAAATGGCTTTGCAGAGTCCTTTAGCAGAGGACTGGTCTCTCCATTTTTCCACATCTCTACTGGCTGTTTCAAACCATTTGTCTTTTAAGTAAGAAGAGGCTGTTGCCGAGGCTACTTTCTCTGCTGGTATCAAGTTATAAGATGAATGGAAGTAAAGGTATGCCCTTTAACTCTGTGTCCGCAACTGAAACAGGGCTGGTTTTGTTGCACTTAGTATGGTGGAGGATCAAATCACCTCAGCTGTTTCTTAGAACTAAATTACAAACCAAAAAGAAGTCCCATTTTAAGCTGTATGGGCAGCACCTATGCTGGAATTAGCAGCAGAGCAGTCTTCAAAATTAGCAGATGAGGTGAATGAACAGCAGAACAGTCCTGAGCACCTCACATTTCTGCATGTAGGCTAGTGCCTAAGCTGGGCAATTTAAAGCTAGCTTATGACACCTTTACTGCAGCCTAAGTGATCCTTGATCTTACTTAGGACATAACAGAATTTATTCACTGTGATTAAAATGAAATTCAAACATGTCCTAAGTACTTGCTACAATTTTTTTTTTAGTAATAACTATCAAATGTATGATCTGAATTTGGATGGTAGGCATGCCCACTTTTCTGTCTTTCCACTCATAGCTGCTGATTTCTGTACCATTAGTGGCAAAAAAAAGCTAAGATTTTTATCAGTTGTTCAAATAAAGAACTAAAAGAGTATTTCACTTTCAGGAAGCTGGTACATTTCTGTCAGTAAAAAATGAATGTGAAGAAGTGAACTTGAGCTTTCAGTTCTGTCTGGAGAGATCCCATGCCATAAGTATTTACACTGGCCATGTGCCTCTGCTACTCATCTGCCTACACTGACAATAGCTTGGGTCCTACCTTAGAAGAGAAAGGGCCATCCTAGTGGTTCAGCTGAGGGCTGCATCAGACATGCATCTTCATGCTTCTTCATTGGGACTAGAAACTAGAATGGTGACGGTCTTGAATTTCAGCCAATTAAATTGACTAAGACTAATCAAATAATTTTGTTTTAGCCAGATAAAGAAAGTTGAAAATGTAAAACTTCCTTTTCACCATTCTTTACAATGAGGTTCATGGTGAGCAAACTAGCTAACTGCCTGGCGTGAATTCTTCTGCATGAAACTGATGGGCCAGTTCTGGCTGGGAATGAAAAAAACCACATCTGGACTCTGGTCACACCAAGCAGACCCTGTGTGGAACAGCAGACCAGCAGCTGATGTGCATTTTCTTACATAATATAATGGTCAAATCATAAAAGTATACATACCTGTGCGAAATACTCCTCTGAAATCCTCCCTGCCCATTCAATACATAGCTCTAGAGGGCGACATGGATTTGCTACATCTGCACATTTAATCATCATGCGCTTGATCAGTGTCTGGTTGTCTGGAAAATTCTTTATATTGGCTGTACATTCAGTGTCGCTGCCTTCACTCTGTAAAGCAGAGATGATTACAGTGACCAGGGGCCACATCCCCTGCTGGCAGGAGTGAGGGTGTCGTTATCAGCTCTACTGCACTTGGGGCAGTAAGCAGGCACCCAGTCTGCCGCCTTCTGATGTCATGCAGAGCATCAGGAATTTGGAGAAGAAAGTGATGTCTGAGAACTACAGCCTTGCTAAGTAACTAATTGTAACCCCCGTACATATTACAGTTGTGAAGATTCTGAGAATTAATAGCTAAGTTTGTAAAATAAAGAGCTCTTTATCAGGTAGGAGGTCACTTTCTCTGCATCCCAGACTTGTCCTCTTGGAAGAGGACCATGATAGCAGATGAATCCACCAACTGCTAACTCATAAATGATCCTCAGTGCTGAGTGTTTAAATTTTAGGGTGATGATTTTAGGGGACTGCTTCACTTAGGGCAGTTTCTGGAGTTAGATTTTCATTCCTAAATGAGAAAACTGAGGCAGGCACAGGGAGCTGAACTGACTTGCACAACTGACATTACTTTTATATGCAGAAAAGCAGAGCTCTGACATTCAGTTCCAGAACATTTACACATAAAACTGCCTTCTTTATGCCAGACTTTGAACCCTCAGCCTGGAATCATCTCTGGTTTTAGTTATGAGCAAGCGTGCAGTCTTAGGTAATCTACGAGATTAACAGTAAGAAAACACAGGGGCAGCAGACTGACTGCAGAAAGTCTCTACTTGGTAGACAGTAAAATATCAAACTGCTTATTGACTGCTCTGGAGAGCATGTGGAGGTGACAAGGTAGTTGTTACAAGTCCACTGTGGCATCATATTCTGAGTCTTGAATAGTTTAGAAGGGCACAGGTATGTTATGCTCCTTGTGGAGTAATAAAAAGCCTACACCTCAGCTCATCATGGCATTAACACTGTTCTCAAAATATTTGTGTGATTATGTTCTCCCTTCACTGCTATATTCAACTCCTGAGTCAAAAACTGAACATAAGTACTCTCTACCACAGCAACTAAATTAATGTCGCTGTGGTTTATGGAGAGATATTTTGCAGTGACTTTTGCCAGTTTAGGCACTAATCTTCTAACTTTATGTTTAGCAGTTAATTCTTTTTCAGCATGGATAGCCCAGCAAAGACCTGCCAAATTAACCCTCCACCTTAACTGCTGTTCAAGACAAAAATAGAAAGAGCCACTGTTAACAGTAAAGAACAACTTAATACTGGGGGAAAACAACCAGTCTGTGGTACAAGTGGTTCTGTGCTGCACTTTTATTGTGAGGTAAGTTCAGCAGCATTTGTGATTTCCAGCTCAAACTGTTGGGAGAGTGGAGCTCAGCAGTTCCTAGAAGTAGTTCAGTTCAACTGCCATAATGCTGTCTCTAAAGTCATAAACCCTACCAGTCCTGACTGATTTCTGTACGCTTGACATCCTACAGTGCAAAAAGTCCAGTTGCAGATAACTACCAGAAGCGACTTCTATTTATTTTTAGTATCGTTGACGTTCAATTTTGTCTGGGTTTTTTTCAGTATTTCCAACAAAGCATTATTTTCACTAAGGTGGGCTAAGGTAGTCTTTCCTCAGGTAATACTGCTCTGGAGAACGCTGTCAGGCCCTGAATGCTCAGCCTTGAAAGGCAACAAAAGAAGGTAAGAGGGGCATGGGAAACTCAGAGGCAGCTTATGAAACATACCCTGGCTGGAGCATTAGGGTGTGTAACTGATAGGAATAAAGGCCTGGCCATCTCTTGGTACAGTCAGGAGTGGAGAGGTCTCAGGAAGGTATTCTTCAGGCCTCGAAGGCTCTAGATTACACAGACCCAAAACCATCAAGGTAGATTCCTCAGTTACATCCCTAGGCTCAGGCAAATCGCACTGTTTGGAGACAGGACCATAGGCCCAAGTGGCAACCTGGCTTCATGCACAGAATTTTCCATGTAAAACAACACCCACCTGCATATTTTCTGAATACAAGATGGCTTTGAAGACAAAGCTTATAAATGAAATGTTTAAATGAACTAAGGACAGAGCCAGACATAGAAAACAAGAAAATGAAAGTATTTTTTCAAACTTTGATGTGTGAGGTCACAAATCCGATTGTGTCATTTTGGGCATTACCACAATGCAAATTAATCAAGGTGAATGAAAATGATACTTTAAGTTGTCTTGGAAGAACCTAACTGAAATGCCTGACGGTGTAAAGTCCCCCAAGCACTTACGTGTGGGCTGGTCTCCTCAGGTGCCATAGGCTTGTTGATACTGTTCACAAATTTGTTCACATGCTCAAAGTGTTTCGTCATCTCTGTTGCCAAAACCATATCGATAATGGCCTGGCGCAATGTCCGATAGCGATTTCTAGGAAAGAAAAAGAGTTCCTGCTCACAAGCCTGCCAGACAGAGCTCTGTCCTTTCCTCATACCTGCCTAGGCAGTGCTGCAAAATGCTGCTCAAGGGCTCACCATGTGAGCTGGCACCGTCAGAGACAGGAACAGTCTAGGGATAGAGGAATGGACTAGATCGTTCCTCTCTGGGTTCCTCCAGCTCTGTTATTTTTGCCTGATGGAAATCAATCCCCTGAGGTTAGTAAAAATTTACAACTCAGTTTCATAATGCTGTAACACTAAGACAAGTTGTCCAGGAATGACACCAACACATCCATGTGACTGTATGCTAGCTTGGTACTCAAAGCTCAGGTTTTTCAAAAACAATGCTGTTTGGGGTCAGGCTGTTTCCCTTTCAGATCTGTTTCCCTCTCACCTTGTCCCTGTAAAGGTTAGGCTCACGCAGTGGAATTCCCAGGCTACAGCATGCCACAGGGAGCCTCCAGATCTCCCAGAACTTCATGTTGGTCTGCCACTACCCGTTCTGCCCCATGTGAATGCAGTAGTGCTTGGAAGCATAGGACCTTGTGCAGACACAGCATGCAGCATCTAGCTGCTGGGGTGGAAAAATATACCACAGAAAAGTAATTTCTAGGCTTCTGCAACCAAAAGGCCATGGGCCAAAATGCAGTCTTGAGGTTGTCAACTGGACCATGTTAATGTAATCCATAAAAGATTATTGAACATCTCTATAAGATTCCAGAAATTACAAATTGGAAGGGGCGGTGAAGGGGGAAATGAAAGCTTTTTTTAAAAATCATGTCTACATAGGATTCTGGAAGAGGTTAAATATTAATATCTGTATTTAAACTGTATATTCTTGTTTAGAATGTAGGCTCTCAATCTGCCCCAAACTAAAACTGCCAAACAAGCAATCCACACACGGGCACTCCTCTTCGCCAGAAGACACACCTATCAATATTCTTGAAAATGTTGCATTTGCTGTCTTTAGTTGTAAGCTGAAACGCCAGTGCTGTGTGATGACTCTCTAATACAGCTGTATCATTGTAAAGGACAGCTAATTCACTGCCTGCATTGCACAGGAAAGAGTTGGTCCGTCCAGGGTGGTCTACATCATGAATGGTGGCAGCTATTAATGCAGCTACCTCATCTAAATGGTCCAGACTTCCCTACAGGAAGAGAGAAGAATTATGATGTGGCACAAAAATTACGGTAAATATTTTCTGATCATTTCTAGGTACCCTTGATTATGCAAACATAAGCTTCAGTGTAAGGATCCTACCTCCTTGCAATCATTTTCCACTCAGTGTGCCCACAGATTAACTACTACAAAACTCTCACTCCCACCCCTACCCATATACTCTTTTCTTTAAAGAAGCTTTTTACTATGCTGTCACCTAAGCAATATCTTGGCATAAAATTCTCTAATGGATAGATCATCTAGATCTATCACACACATCTGTGTGTGCTTGCCTGAATGCATCTGTACTGTCTCTGCCTCTACACACCTTTTATCTTAGAATACAGTGGGACAGACTGTTTCAGTTGGAAGTGACCTACATTAGCCCAACTGCCTGACCACTTTGGGGCTGACCAAAAGTTAAAGCATGTTGTTGCCCAAATGCCCTTAAACGCTAACAGGATCAGGGCATCAACCACCTTTCTATGAAGCCTGTGACCACTCAGTAAAGAAATGCTTACTAATGTCCAATCTGAACCTCCCCTGGCACAACTTTGAACCATTCCCACTCATCCTATCATTGGGTACCAGGGAGAATAGCTCACACTTCCCTCTTCAAAGCTTTTGCAAAACTTTATTAAGAGCTGTTACTAACCAAGAGAGAGAAAAGAGCCAGGTTCCCTCCCCACCCCCATTATTGCTACTTAAAAAAATTAATTTGTATAAACAGACTTTAGAGAAACTGTATGGGCTTGCTGGCTTCACAGGAAGACTTCAAGGGCAGAGAGAGTTTATGAAGCCAGGACAATTATTTAAACATGTGACTTTTGGATGACACACATAAAATGGTAAACACACTGAAACCCTAGCGCAGAGGACTCCTAGGTGAGGGTTCTACCTTAACTCTCTCCTTGCCAAGGAAGAAGGCGGTAGCATGCAGGACATCTGCTGCGTGTGTGGAGTTGTGGTAGGAGTTGGAGGAATGGTAGTTGGCTTCAATGACCTGCAGCCATGCCCGCAGCGTTACTTCTGAGCAGTTTAAAAACTCAGAGACCCCAAACCGGGCAAAAACTTTTAAGCCCAAATACACTAATGGCCTGAAAAACAATAGAAGAAAAAAGCACTGTTGTAAAATAGGAACTCGTTCTAAAAGCAATATATTTGATGAAGAAAACAACAAGACCTTAAAAAGGGTGGGGAATGTTAAACATTTTTAAATTGCACATCTATAGCCTCTCAAAAGCCTGGCCAAGGTTACAAATTATTGTATCTACCATCCTTTTAGACATTATTTTAATATGTTTTGTGGAAATGGTGCAGTTCCATTAGAGTTTGAACAATTCCTGTGGCTTCAGAAAAAACATCTTAAAAGCCCAAGTCTTTTGTGGTTTTTAGTATCTGTCAATCAAAAAAAAATACATTTATTTTTTTCCTGAGGAGGAAAAGCAGTCTTTGAACACGACATGGAGACATCCCAAAGACTAAGAAGCCATAAGACAAAAAAAGGTCAAATATCAAATGTAAACTGTTGTGTGTGTATATGTGTGTGTGTGTGTAATGATGGGCAGTCCATGTGTGAAACAGTAAATATAAAACCTCTAATCTTTTTGGTTCTTAAATCCAGATCCACTCTGGGTTATCATTTACACTGCATTGCCTGTGAGAGTCCATCAGTCATATTTCTCACTCATACAAGATGATCTGCAGAGCCTCTGAGCTGAGAAAGGCATAATCAAAACCCAGCATCTGCAGATTAAGCCCAGGCACGTTCCTAAAATGGCCATTTTCTGCAAAGAGAGTACAGAAGACTGGATAGTCTCTGATTCTTTGTGTCTTGGAATGAAAACCACTTTTCTCTGTGGGTGACATGATTATTTTTGCAGTCTGCATGACCTCAAAACTACTGATGTCTCTTGATCGTATCACTGGTTTGTCCTCCATTCCATTTTTTTATCCCTATAATCAAAAGCCACAGTTGCCTCAGACCTTCCCAAATCATAGAATGATTTAGGTGAGGGAGGGAAGAGGCTTGCTTTTTCCAGCATGACCATTTTTACATGAGCAGGAAAAAGAGGCGTCTGTAGGAAATCTAGCATGTAGCAACATCAGACTGTGCCAAACCTGGCTAGAGTGGACGTAAGTCAAGCAAAACAGCTGTCACAGATTTACTATGTCTTGCTTCAGTTTTTTGCAGAGCAAAGTGCTTTCTGCTACAGCTCATCAACAGCCTTTCTCTGGGCACCTAGGGCAAGGAGTCCAGTACCTTTTATTTGTAACAGCCTCCAACTCAAAAATATTGAAGTCCCAGGTTTCCTCATTATCTAGGAGCTGTGCAATACAGGGTGGAACATCATTGATGGTGTTTGGCACTGGAAGGTGACTGTGGCTCAGGTTCACATCTGTTGAAATGGAATTTGGGAATCAACACATTTCTGGATTATTCCCCCTACACTACTGCAACCCCCTGCAGAATTCCATTTAGAAAACAACTCTTTTTCAAGAAAAACAACCTTTTCCTTACATGAAAAAGTCTGTAAATGCCTATAATATAAACAGTTTATTATGTTTGAACATTAACCAAAAAGATCAGTGAACATTTCTTTGACAATTTTTTTGCTAACATCTCGAAATGCCTTATTTTAATTATTTGAACCTGCTTCAACTCCAAAATGGAGGCAATCTAGCATTTGTTCTGCAGTCATTTAGCCAACCATTTCCAAAGGCATATATGCCACTGCAAATAAGCCCGAAGCTCTATGTCAGCAGCGTTGACAAAGGAAGTCACACATGCAAAGGAAGTTTAAAACGGTGGCTTACTCTTAGAAAACACATACTCATTTCCTGACAGTCTTCTCAAGCCATCCTGGAAAAAAAAAACAAGTTTATCATAAGTTTTCGGCAGAGTGACCATGCATCACTAGTTGCAAAAACACTACATGCATTTTCTCTTTAGCTACTATTCCTGGGTACTAAAACCACTGCTCTTATTGTAGCATTATAAGCACCATCCTTGTTTTAAGATTTTTCAAAACAGACATGAAAGGATCCCAAGAAGACTGGTATGAGATCTCCAGAAAGGATGTTATTAACTCTACAGTATATTGCCCTCTTTGACCCTTTCTTTGGCACCTGCAGGATTTCATCATTCAAATTAGCCACTATAATTTATTTTTCATTTTCTTTATATTATTTTGGCAGGAATTAGCTTAGTGTACATTAAAAAATGAGTAAATCCTTGATGAAATATAGACAGACTGTCTCTTGCTGCTGTTACAGGACCAAAGGGAGAACCTGATTAAAGCAGCCTCACTCCTACACTGGACCAGCTGTAGAGCAATCCCTCTAATCCCATCTAAGCTTCTAGAGTTTCTAAAAGGTATCTCCTTCAGTATCTCCTGAGACAAATCAGACTGGATGATACAGTTTCTAGTGGCAACCGTGTTCACTTATATATAAGGATGAATGCACCCAATGGACTGAGTTGTGGCCATATCTTACTACATCTTAGTGCCTACTGCTGATAAAGAGGTCGAAATCCTAAAGTGAAATGGTGATGAATCCCCTTCCCATTGCTTGGGACATTTTAGCACAGCAGAGCACTGAAGGGTGGTATAGGACACTTACAGTGGTAACTTCATCTTTACTAATTTTACTCACAGTCATCAGACCTCCAACAAGATCACTTGTGTGAGGATCTTCATCTTTGGTACCTAGCTGAGGGGAGTAAAGCTCTGTTGTCCGCAGGATTTCCAGAACTCTGTCCAAGGCCTCTGCTACTGTGATGGGGCTGTTTTCCTGGGCAGCATTAATTATGTTAATAACCTGAAAGCAGATTAAGGAGGCAGGCGAAGAAAAGTGAATGGCACTTTTTTCTTTTCTTATTACAAACTCTTTATTCTTGACTTGATTATGCTAATTCTCATTTAGCAAATGGAGTGCAAATTCTCCCAACCCTTGAAGTACAACTCTGAAAATGTAAATTTGTGCTCAGATTTCCTGGTATCCATCTACTATTTTTAACTGTCAGACTCCTGGGAAGTGAAAGCAGAAGGGTGTGAAATATCTGAAATAGTTGCAAGTGGGTGGACCAAAAACTAGCAATGTCCCAGTCCTTCAGCGTATCCAGTTCTGCATTGAAGCAATCATTCAATCCCTAGAGGAAAACCCAAACAAACAAGTAAATTCCTGGATGTGACTCAGATATCCTGACATAGGATGTAAAGCCTTAGTTTTCTCCATGAAAAATAAAGGGCAGAGAGCAGAAAGAGCTTGGCTGTGGAAGAAGAGGATGGCTGTTTGAACCGCCACCTTGTGCCTCATCCACAATCTGGGAATGCAGCAGTGACAACAGCAGCAAAGGCTGCTCCTGGCTCTGCCAGGACTTAGCGGAAGAAAGCCCCAGTGCTGTCTTCTCCAGCAATCAGGGGCTGTTGCAAGGGCACTACAGGCCTCCCTGCAGGTATGACTGAGGATAAGGAAAAGTTCTTACAGTCACAGTAGTACTGGGAAGTAAGTGCTTGATGAGAGCAAGAACAGATGGGGAGAGAGTTAAAAATGAGGGTGGGAGATACCTGGTGTGTGTTACAAGTCACTATGCAGCTGGTTTGCAACAGAGTTTTGTGTAACACAGTGAACAAAAGACTGCAGGAAAGTGGGGGAGACAGAACATGGTGCAGGTGCTCCCTCCTCTACGTGCTATCTTATAAATATCAATAGCAAGAGCAAAGGTGAGACTGGAAGCACATCCTCCTACACATACACAGCCCAACAGAACAGTGTCCCCTTCCTGCTAACAGCAGTGCATCTAACAAGGGCACACTTTCCCCCTTTTTCATATTCTTTCTTATGACTAGGATTTGGAATGCAATGATAAGATGTAGAAAGTAGTATGGATAAAAAAAGTTATTTATATTATACTGTTAAATACAAAGTGCAGGAAACCTCTGGTTGTCTGTTCACCAACTACATACTTCCCTATGAGAGCAACTCCAGACTCTTGAGATTGTGGAAAAGTCAGTGCTCAGGACTCACCTTTGTGATAGGAGCTTCTATGGTCATTGAGTGAATCCTTGCCATTGAAGAGTACCGTCGGGTCTGTAAACTTGGAGCTGCTGTTAAAGAGAGCCACAGACTATAAATCAGATGACAGCATTTAAAGAGCAGAAGGCTGGGGAACAGCACAACATAATCCAGCCTCATGTTCCACTTCTGTATTTCCTCCTGCAGGTTCTTACTTTACTGTTTCATTTCTTGCTCTGTTGTTGACCTCCTTGGCAGCACCCCTTACTTTTACTATCAGATTTTCCATGCGTCCTTCACTTCGGAATGAAGCTGTACCTATTATGCTTCATGCCCAGTACCTGCCAGTTGCTCTTTGATTGCAGTGAGTCTCTGTCAGACATGGCTCCTCCTGTGAGTGTGTGTGTAAGTCCCTCATCTTGGTGATACAACTGGTTTCATGAAACCCATTCCTGCTTCCCATAAGCTGTCCTTCCCTCATTACATAGAGAGGTAGAAAATAAACTCTGCCACCACCGTCCCAGCCCCAGCAACCAGTCACAAATGGGATCAGGAGTAGAAGTACTGCTCTCAAGTAACCAGCAGCAATAAATCCCTTCATGTTCAACACTAATAAAACAAAAATACTGGTTCAGGAGCACAAGCTGAAGCTTTCTGAGGGAGGTGGCACTAACGCGTCATCACACACTTTTAGAAGGCTTCTCCTATCCCTTGGCACAGCCACTCCTCTCTGTGAAGGCACTCTGCACTGCCATGCATCATATAGCGATGCTGGTACTCGTGGCTGGGGCACTGTTTTGTAAATTAGAAGAAAGAAATTTTGCAGCAGTTATAAAAAGATGGAGTAATTTCTCTTTAATCAGCTATGAATCTGGTTCATCTTCTGCATCTTATTGCCTAGGCCAAGTCTGTTCTTTCTTTATCTGTAAATATATATATATTTATAATATTATATATCAATATATAATAATCCTTGACAGTTTACTTTCTTACCATCACTACTTTGAGATGTTATTGACTTAACATCAACTGAGTCTTTCCTTCTGTTCTTGCATTTGTAGGAATTGGATTCTGTAAATACAAAACAAAAGCTTTAAAAATGCACCAAGTAAAACATCTACAAAGCTTCTTCCATCTAAAGTTATGAAAATTTAATTACATGATCTTAACAATACGACATAAGCGGGGGAAATACTGTAATCTCTGCAAATCAGAACAAGGAACTCAGTGTCTATCAATTTAAAGCAACATGTCCGAAGTCACCTGGAAAGGTGTTTCACAAGGAAGCCAAGATGCCTTATGGAACGGGAGACTTGCTTCACCTAAGTTTAGCTTCCTAAAAGCAGCAGTCTTGCAGGCTGTTGATGTCTAAGGTGGTTATCAGAGAACCTGCTTCAGGAGAGATGTCTCAGGCAGGTGCGTTGAACCCCTCCTGCAAGGCCCTTTTGCTTCCCATCAGCCACTGAACAAGACTGAGTTTAACAGCCTAAAACTTTAGCCAAGTGAGGAAAGTCCCATCTCAGTCTACACTATTCGAGCCCAAGCATAATTCAGACTCGGACAGCTTTTGCTTTTATTTGCAGTAATTTTTTGTACGCTGTGTTAAAGAAAAATCTAGCATGCTGAGAATGATTATAAACAAGCAGTTTGGTTGCTGTGAAAATTAACCATGCAAAAAGCTGTTATTCTTGGAACTAATGTTTGCTAAACAAGAGAAATTATCACATCCAGCCAAATTCAAAAGCTGGATGAAATACCAGGAAAGAGCCTCAAAAAAAAAAAAAAAAAAAAGATGTGGTAAAATTTAATTTTCCTCCAAAACATTACAATCTTCAGTTCTCCCTACTGTTGAAAAACAACAACCATGCATCTATTCACCTCTTTGCAAGAGTGTCTGAAATGCCACTCAAGGATCAGAGACCCTAGTAAGCTTTTAAAAGCAGATAAAACCATCTGAAGAATCAGAAATATCATGACATTGATATTCTTAACATAAAGACCATGTCATAAGACAGGACGTAGGCAGTCTGTCTTTAGCAAAATAAAATGTTAATATATGATTCTCCAGAATTAAAAGTCTGTCCATCTTAAAAATTACTGAAATACAGTTTCTGTCTTAATTCTCTTTTTCTACTACAGATTTATAAGATAGCTTAGGTCTTCTTATTTTGCTGTAGTCCAAACTGGAGAAACTGAAAGCATTTTCCTCTGTTGACATGTAAGAGCAGGGCATAACTAATGCATATTAAATAATTTTATTTATTTATTTCATAGTACTCCTCTTAGAAACCCCATTCCTGCATTAACATTTGGATTAGTTTATCATAAGGCACTGGAGTGGGAGCAAGGATTTACACATAAACTTAGCTGTGAGTGGCTATAGTTGAAAACTCTCCTTGTGTTAAATGCCAACTAGCAAGTCAGAAATTTTGCTAGTGCCACCCCAAGAGTGACAGGCACCTAAAAGCTACTCTCTGCCATTCTACAATTTCATCTGTAAATATTTCAATGCCTAAATAAAAAATTTTTCTTCACCTAGTGAGCAAAATATCTCATCATCCAGATTTGGTACAAATCACACCATCACAAACAGCACAATATCATGGATTACTTTTCTATGCTCATCACATACTGGTATATGCCCATGGATAAGTTCTGAAATTTATTCTTGGAGCACAGCCATGGACCTCAGGGAAGGATAACCTACGTCATATGCTCTAAGTTTGTCTGCGTTCACTGCACCTTAATCATCAACATGGCATCAGTGGGATGGGGCTTCCAAGTCTTGTGTAAATCTGTCACAAAAATGAGCAAACCTAAAATATTAGCAAGCTAGTAAAAATGTTTGAACTAGTAACAGTTGTCCTTTGGCTTAATTCATAGGCTTTCTCACCTTCTTGTTTGCAGGAAAGAAACAGTGAGAAGAAAATCTGCTTTTATTACAGGGACATGGGAGTAAGCAGTTTAACATACTGTGGATCAGTTCTAATGGCAGCAATGGGAATGAGAGCAGCCAATTATATATTGTCTCTTCTTCCCCCTGCTCACTGCTGTTTGGCATCACAGAGGTCTCTGTTGTTTGTATGCATCCTGGGCTACTTGAAAAAGCAGGAGATGTTAAACAGTCATTGTTTAACATTTGTGGTATGTTATATCCTCTTCCCATGTGAAAATCAGAAGATGCCTGACATTGCACAGCAATGTTGTCCATCTTTCAAAGCAGGAACAGCCTCAAGTGCCAGAAGGTAATAGTGCACGAGAACCTGTTCACTCATAGTAAGACATCAGTGCTGCGTCTGGCTGAGATTACTAGAGTCACAAGCTTAAAATTGGCCTTTGGTGCCTCCTCCTTCAGGCAAAAGTGTTATTCCAAATACTACACAGCACTGGAAGAAGGGATTATCTATCCCCTTATGCTCCACACTTTTAGTCAAAAGCTGTCTGCAGAAGTCCACGAGAGCTGGAATGTGCTGTCCGCAAGTAAGTAAACCCACCTGAGACACAGGGCAAGGGTTTTGCAGACATCCTGCAACAACTCACCACTGACGAACTGACTAGCTCAGGCCTGGACACCTCAGACAACTGTCTTAGCCCTGTGCTGGGGCCAAACCAGTGGCCTGCTGACAGGTCCTAAACTTGGAAACACTAGGGCAGGTGTGCTGGCACAAATCAGCACATTCCACATTTCAAACACAAAGGGGTGCCAAGGTACACCAGCCTCAGGATCAGACACAGTGTTTTAATACAATGAAGAGCAATGCATCCTAACTTCAAATGCACAGCAAGAGCTCTGCACAGGAGACTGAATTATTGTTGATTATATTATTACTGGTTATTGATTATGGATTATAAATGCAATTCATGGTGCAACATCGGTGGCAGCTGGCATCCGTCACTGACCATCAGCTCTGACTACTGACTGGACAGAGGGAAAGAACCCTGCCACGACCTCCAGCACAGCAGCATATAGAGGTAAAAGTATTCTAACCTGATTGAGAATTGTCACCTGTGTACTTCTCTTCATGGTGACTCTTGTAGACCTGAAAATTGGAGTAAAATATGTATGTAAGGCAGAAGAATACAAAAATAAACAGGCTACATTGAACACTGTTCTTATCCAGAATTTTCCATTCAGTTGTTTTTAAAAAGAAGGTGTATGGCAAAGACTCTTCTTTAGGTGCAGTTAGATGTAGAGAAATAATATGAAAGGAAACAGATATGTCATGCAGATAATTGCAGATACAATAGTGCTTTTATATACTAAGTTCCTGTTTAATGCCTGTGTTTGCAAGACAACGGATATTCTTTTTAGGTATTGTTTTAAGTGCAAATTGCATATGAACCTGAAAAAATGAAATGCAAAAAATAAAAAAAATCCCAAAATATTAATTTTTGCACTTTAAAAAAACACATTTTCTTAGCACTATCTAAGCTAATTTCGCATGTATCCTTTCATAGGTCACTAATAAACTTGACTTCAGAAAACTCAGTTATAAAAACAACTTTCTGGCAAATGAGAGGTAGAGGTAGGTGTCATTCATCGGAACTTTATTTCCAAGTAATTTTTAATCATTCTCATGAAAAATTTTAATTATTTGTGCTTCTGAGAGAACTTCGGTAGCTCCAACAACAGGTATTCCAAGCTTTCTTAGAATTTACATAGGATATTTCCATCATCTTAAAATTTACACATATTGCTTGGACCACAATAACACAGATTAATATTCCTCTGCTTTTCCATTCCGCTCAGAAAAAAAAACAGTCTCCAATTAATGGCAATTTAATACCTGCTAATTACTTCACCCTTTCCTTTGTTACATGGTTACAAGAAAGTATTTTGCTGTTAATAGGAAACCTGAATAAAAATGTCAGTTCCTCAAGTCCTCCTTCTAAAATTAGCACATTATATATTTCATTAGAGCTAACAGAGACACTGAGAAGGACTAAAAATAACGCATTACTTTTTTTACTTCAGTCACTAGAGAAGATACACGTACTCTCTGTATACACATACTCTGATACACATTCTCTTTTCTGTCATTCTTGCAGACACTATCTTTTTTTCCTCTTTGCAGTGGAGGGGAGCAGGTAAAGAGGGTGAAAGGGAAAGAGAAGAAAATGGAAAGGAAAAAACCCATAAAATTCAGATATGGTTTTCTGTAATGAAGAAAAAAAAAAAAAGAGGAGAGGGAAATCCTGTGCTCATGTTCCATATAAATTTTGTTCAAGGGAACATAAGAAGTGACTCTTCCTCCAAAAATAAATTTTAAACACTTCTCTTGTAACCTGGCAGAAACTCAAAGAGAAATGATCTTGTCCATACAGAGTAAGATTAAGGAATCTCATCAGATATGGTGCAGTGACACAATGCATCTGAACTGCTCATTCTGGTCCCAACCTGGAGCTTCTCTCAGAGCCAATGGATATATATCTCTGTCTACTGCACAGCTGGCAGAAACATTGGCACAGTCCTCCAAGTGCTATACTAAAAAAATAAACCCACTTTTATGTTCTGAATACTTCTCTTCCCCTTCTGCAGGCATGTCCTGAAAGAGCCATGTAAGGTAAGTTATGAAGGTAGTCACACAGTTAATCTTGGGTCAATATGTTCTTAAGAGGAGAAACAACACCTTTGTTTTAAATTTATGAATGTGCAAACACTGGACTCAATCCTGCCAGGTCTCAAATTGACAACAGCAGCATTAATAATTACCTAGGCTTCAGCACGTGGAAATAGTCACATGAAAGTCAATCCCTATTCATAAATCTTCACTGTAAGAATGCTTAGTACTCTCTTACATAAATTTTTTCCATGCATAAATCTAGCATGCTAAATTTTTGTATGTTATAAATCTGGCACAGAAATACATGAAGGTTTCTGCACAGTGATCCCTAATAATACTATGATATCCCTTACAGAAGCTGTTGGTAATGGCAAATATCTACTTTTGTTTAAGGTGAAACAATGCATAATGTGTAAGGATGTTTTGAAGTCAACATACATTGTCTGAATGCTGAAATCCAGCCATTTAAAATTATGTCAATGCATTTGCATCAAAATTTGAATCATGACAGCTTTTACTGCTCTGTAACTAAATAAATAGTTTGTTTGATTTCCTTTTATCCTGCCGTAAAGATTTATCTGTGGCTTGAAAAAGAAGCTAATTTTTTTAGGATAAAGAAATGTTCTACTGCTGCAAGTATTCAGGCATGGATTTTAGGAATACTGCAGTGTCCAGTATCTCCTACAGGCAGGAGGTATTTCAACCACAGAAGTGAAACAGAATAATTACATAGCTGTGTTGGATGCACCTTGTTTTTTCCCCAAGGGACCTTACATTTCCATACACCATGCTTTCTGTTAGGCTGTGGTCTTTAGCCTTTGTGGCAGACCTCTATATCTGTGGAGAACCTTTCGAAGGCCATATTCCCTGGGATTACCAAATGTGTAAAGCTCCCTAGACTATCAAATTTGTGCTCAATTCACCAGTAACTGCTTATGAATGAATACTAAAAAGACATGAAGGGTGGTGCTTTCCATCAGTGCCAGCAGTACAGAGAATATAAATGTCGCCTTGGACACAAGTTGTCAGATAAAATTTGTTTCATAAGTTCCTTTGTTCTCATTGACAAGGAGGGGCTGATAGGGCAGGGGAAGTTCAAGGACAGCCTGGGTGTCAGCAACCGTGAAATGGAGAAGTTCAAGATCCTCAGGACAGTGAGGAGGACACACAGCAAGCTCACTGCCCTGGACTTTGGGACAGAAGACTTTGGCCTCTTCAGGGATGTGCTTGGAAGAGTTCCATGGGATAAAGCCATGGAAGGAAGAGGGGCCCAAGAAAGCTGGTTAATATTCAGAGATCATCTCTTCCAAGCTCAAGAGTGATGCATCCCAACAAAGAAAAGTCAGGCAGAAATGCCAAGAGGCCTATATGGATGAACAAAATACTCACGATAAACTCAAAGACAAGAAGGAAGCCTACTGAAGGTGGAAGCAAGGACAGGTAGCCTGGGAAGAATTCAGAGAGAGTGTCTGAGCAGCCAGGGATCAGATTAGGAAAGCTGAAACCCTGATAGAATTAAATCTGGCCAGGGATGTCAAGAGCAACAAGAAAAGCTCTTATAGGTACGTTGGTGAATAGAAGAAAGACTAGGGAAAATGTGGGCCCTTTTTGGAAGGGAACAGGATACCTGGTTACCCAGGACGTGGAGAAGCTGAGGTACTCAATGATATTTTTGCTTTGGTCTTCACTGTCAAGTGCTCCAGCCACACTGCCCGAGTCGCAGGAGGTAGAGGCAGGGACTGGGAGAATGAAAAACTACCCACTGTAGGAGAACAGGTTTGAGAACATTTAAGGAACCTGAAGGTGCACAAGTGCACAGGACTTTATGGGCATCCATGGGTCCTGAGGGAGTTGGTGGAAGAAGTGGCTAAGTCACTATCCGTTATATTTGAGAAGTCATGGCAGCCCAGTGAAGTTCCTAGTGACTGGAAAGGGGGAAACTTAAACCCTTATTTCTAAATATCAAAAAAAAAAACCTGGGGAACTACAGGCCAATCAGTCTCACCTCTGTGCCCTGTAAGTCATGGAGTGGATCTTCCTGGAAACTATGCTAAGGCATATGGAAAATAAGGAGGTGATGGTGACAGCCAGCACAGCTTCATTAAGGGCAAATCATGCCTGACAGAATTGGTAGCTTCCTACAATAGGGTTACGGCATTGGTGGATGAGGGGATGTCATCTAACTGGGCTTATGCAAAGCATTTGATACTTCCTTGCACATCCTTGACTCTAAAATAGAGAGACCTGGATTTGACAAGTGGACCACTCAGTGGATAAGGAATTGACTGAATGGTCCCACTGAAAGAGTTGTGGTCAATGGCTCAGTGTCCATGTGGAGAGGAGTGAGGAGTGGTGCCCCTCAGGGGTCTGTATTAGGACCAGTATTATTTAACATCTTTGTCAGGGACATGGACAGCGGGATCAGGTGCATCATCAGCAAGCTGGCTGATGACACCAAGCTTTGTGGGGTGGTTGACACGCTGGACGGGCCCCAGCATAAGAAAGACATGAACCCGTTGGAGGAGGGCCAGAGGAGGGCACAGAGGTGACCAGAGGACTGCAGCACCTCTCCCATGTGGAAAAGATGAGAGAGCTGGGGTTGTTCAGCCTGGAGAAGAAGTGGCTTTGGGGAGACCTTGCAGCACCTTTCAGTACCTAAAGGGGCCTGCAAGAGAACTGGAGAGGGGCTTTTCAAGGGTGTCTAGTGATAGGACAAGGAGGGACAGCTTCAAACAGAAAGTTGGCAGGTTTAGGTATCAGGAAGAATTTTTTTACTGTCAAGAGTGGTGAGGCACTGGGACAGGTTGCCCAGGGAAGTTGTGGATGCCCCATCCCTGGAAGTGTTCAAGGTCAGGTTGGATGGGGCTTTGACCAACTTGGTCTAGTGGAAGGTGTCCCCTGTGGCAGGAGGCTTGGAACTAGGTGATCTTTAAGGTCCCTTTCAAGATAAATTAGTCTGTGATTCTTACTGGCTTAGGCAGTCCAATAAACTGGGCAAAGAAAACCAGAAAAGGACTTTTTTCTATATTCCAATGAACTGGGCAAAGAAAACCAGAAAAGGATTTTTTCTATATTCCTACTGCTGTTTTTTACAGAAGGCTGCAAATTTGTAATTGTGTTGTACTCATTATCTTGCAAAAAGAGCACAGTATCATATCTACACTTCTCTGTACCAGTCTTTCAGCTGTGTTTTTTTTAAAGAAAAAAAGATCAGATTGTATCTCACTTTCAAATCAAAGCAGCTATAAATGAAAAAACAATGAAGAGCTTTAAACAACGAATTAAAGAGAATACATTAGAATACATAACTTTATCACTGCTTCTGTTACAAAACTCAGTTGCACTCTAGCCTGAGATTTTAAAAAATACTGTGACTGTAAATACTTTGCTGCTAATACTAAAACCCATGGTTAAGTCAAAGATGAGGTCAGTTTACAGTATTATGAGTCTTACTTTTCAGTGATAAACCTTCGAAGTTCTTCCAAAAGTTATGCAGTTTTTTTCCTTGACTACCTGCCTCCACAAAACTTATGCAAGGAGGATAGTTTCAGTGGGCAAATTTTACAGACTACCACCTATGAAATTCTTCCAGTAGTAGCGGTATTCCAATAATGTGTTAATATTCAGTATTGTTCTTCTAAAGAAGGGACAACTAGACATACTTGTGACTTTCTAAATACTTTTTCTGCATAAGTGTCTTTACCTATATAAGGTGTAAAAGCACATAAAAGTCTAAATAAAATACATAACCCCTTCCAGAAACAATATGGAAACATATCATGTTTCTCAAGCACATCCTTGGTCTAAAATGTTGCCAGCCACTTCCTATTTCACCCTTACAGACCACAAGCTAAAGACAGATTTCACTCTTTGCTCACAGAATTTCAGACTTCTTTACAGGGCATGTACTAGAGTATTTTTGGGGCAAAGCATGTGATATGATCATTTGCCTCAGACACTGTCAGCGGGTGGACAGCAGGAGCAGATTACAGCAAACAGCTCCCCATACGACCAGCTTGTTGCAGGACCAGCTGGTGTGGATGTGTGCCTGGATTGCAGAGACCTGGGTCAGCTGCTGCTGCTGGTTTACTTGGGTTATGGCTTGAATGACACCCCTCCAGAACACTTGTTCTAATGAGTGTGTGAAGTCTCAGGTGCTGCATGAAGGCTACACTTTATTTAAGAACAACACATTTGCAAGCCTTATGACTGCTGAGCATAGGTCATTATTAGGCATAAATACACCAGATAGACTGTCAAGAGCAGGTCTAGAAAGAAGGCCCTGAACTCCCTTTGAACTATGGTCTATGTTGCTCCACAGTATCATGGACTCAACTGTCACATTCATGCTCCAGAAAATTAAAGCTTTTCTTCCTCTACTCAACAGTCCTACAGAATGAGAATAGCCCATGCAAATGCTGAAGTTTTCTTGCTTGCTCCAACAATCAATGAGAATCTCATTGATTACATCTGCTTGCAAAAATTGATAAGCCAAAATATATTATTTTACTAAAAGCTATGAAAATTATCACATGAAAGAAATACAATACCTGTTTGTTGTTTTCGTTGGTACAATGCAGCCTTTTGAGGGACACAAAGTGTCTTATTTTCCTAGCAACAGAAATAATCACTTGTTACCATATCAAATGGTAAAGAGAGAAGTGAAGTGATAGACTGCTATTTTCTATAGCAGAGATCTCCATGCCCTCAGGAAACCAGATACCAAACCCAACACCAGCGAGATGACTGGGTGACCAGCACTTCTTCAGCATTACAGTGATGTTTTTGTCCCAGGACACCTGATCCTTTTGCTCCTTCAGGAATTCTCCTGCACATCTGGGAGCTGAATTTGGCAATGTGCCGATTCTACACTGCAAAGGTGGGAGCATGTTCAAGCACACACACAAACAAGGCGATTGCCCAGCTGCTAAATACATGGAGGTTCATGCCAAACTTACAGATTGAGAAAGCAGAAAGAAGGCCCTAAAAACCAGAAAGCAGATATGTTCTGGACAAGTTAGTTACCCTCCTTGTCCTATCACAGGTGTTATCTTCACATGCTGCTGGATACTGTCTCCTGATTTTCTTCTTGCGTAGTAAACTCCTTGCCATTCCTAAGGAAACACACACAAGAGACAGCATCTAAGAATATATAGCTTGCAGTCAAATCTTCATTTATTATTGCATAATCCTTACATAGTAAATTGTTGCATTTTATTTCATGGTTGTCTTTTCTAAATTAGTATAAAATTTATTACTAGAGAATAGCACCTTTAACAGTCATTTGCTAACATAAGGACAGGGTAACTATGTTTCTCTTACGAGAGTGCATGCAACTTTTACAAAGAACTTCAGGAATCATCTACTTAGAGGGGTTACAAACATTCTTGCTAGGTACCACCATAAGCAGCAGTGGTTGCAACACATCCAGACGGTACCTCCCTTGGGACCAGCAGAAACAAACTGTACTGAGCACCATTCAGCTTTGAAGTTGTCGGTTGCCAAGCAATATGTATGCTAAATTTCAAAAATCCTTGACCTAAAGATGTCCTTCAACTAACCTCAAAGAAGAAATATTTTTAAGGAGAGAACTACATGGCAGCAGAGTAGGATTAAATTGGAAAATGGGCGGAAGATACCTTTGAGTAGGCAGTGCGAGCTGCTGGGCAGCCCATATAAATGAGGAGGAGTGCAGCAGGAGTGGCCTGCAGGTCAACTGCAGACAACTCCAGACAGTGACTCCGGATCATTGCTGGAAGTGACTCAAAGGTTCAAGAACTCCCCAAAGTTCTTGAAGCAGAATGTGAAACAGGGAAAGGTACTTCTGCAACCTGTGGGAGATGGGATAAGAGACTGTTGCTTGGATTAGGGGAACGTATTGCCAGGCCCATCACCACAACAACAGGAGTTCACAGGGCTCTGCAGATAAAATGCTAACTGTAGTTAGAAAAACAAACCCCACTGAGTGCCAATACTTTTTGGTGCTTCAAGTATGCAGTCAGTGAAGGCTCTGCAGTTTGACAGAGCACTTAAACCTTTGGTTGGATGATTCAGCCACCTGAGAGACTGACTGAGGGACAAACTGTTACATTCCAACTAACAAAAACTCCATGGGCTATAAGCAAAATAATGACCAGTCTTCGCAAGCGAAGATTTGGGAAAGGTCATTAACCCTTCGAGCCTGC